GCCGCCCCGGTTTCACCCCAAAGGGAGGGCATGGGAGGCATATTTGGTAGGAAGCGTCTGCCGCGGGTGTGTCTCTGCCCAGAGAGATTGATGATCCCCTCCTCCTCCTCTCTTCTTCTTCTTCCAGTTACTACGTGGGCATGTGTGGGGATGGAGCCAACGACTGTGGGGTAGGTGAAGCTCCAGGGTCTTGGAGGTTGTTCTCGTGCGCCCTGCCAGTCCCGTTCCCCCAAATTGGAGGAATCCAGGCAAAAATAGCTTGTAGAAACTCTCACCTTCCCAGAGAAGATTGAGAACCACCTCCATTTTTAAAGTCCCAATTCCTCACAGGGGGGCCTGTTGTTGTTTTCCAGGCCCTGAAAATGGCCCACGCCGGCATCTCTCTCTCGGAGCAGGAGGCCTCGGTGGCTTCCCCCTTCACCTCCCAAATCCCCAACATCGAGTGTGTGCCAGCCCTGATAAGGTACGTGGGGTCTCCACAGTGGCCACTGGAGGTTTTCCAGAAGAGATTGGACAACCATTTGCCCAGGATGGTTTAGGCCGGGTCTCCTGCCTGAGCAGGGGTCCCTTCCTGCCCTGTGTTTCTATGATCTTGGTCGTGGGGTTAGACTAGAAGACCTCCAAGGTCCCTCCCAACTCTCGTATTTTGTTATTCTGTTATCCCAGGAGGTCTGTTCCTCCAGAGCTGGCTAGAAGACCCAACTAGCAGAGGGGCCACCGCCCCCACTTCCTCTCCCTTCTTTCCCGGGTTGCGCTCTGCATGCCTTCCTCCCTGGGGGCTGAGGAGGGAGGCTGCTGCTTTCCTCTACTAACCCTCTCCTCTCCTCTCCTCCTCTTCCGATGGCAGGGAGGGCCGGGCTTCTCTGGTGGCCTCCTTTGCCGTGTTTAAATATCTGACGCTCTACGGCTTGGTCCAGTTCATCGCTACGGTCCTGCTTTACTCGGTAGGTATGGGGCAGTGCTGAGGATGGCTGCTAAGGGGGTGGGGGTGGGGGAAGGACACAGTGGCTTCTAAGCTGATGAAGGCGCTCAGTCTGCCAGGCAGAGATACCCGGAAGTTGAGTCGTGGCAACTGGACTTCTTGAGGGCTCCTGGGTGCTCTCTGAGCTTGCTGGTTTTCTTGCAGACGTTTCATGACCCAAACTAAGTAGCATCCTCAAGAGCATCTAACATCATTGCTACCCCTACCCCTACCCCCCGTTTTCCTGAACAGCAAGCTTGGAAAAGGAACCACAGCCAACATCTACCACATATTTTCTATCATTACCAATAATCTTCAGGTGTTCTTGGAGGAAGGCAGGTTTCTGTCTTACTTCTGGGAGTGGCATAGGACTCAGCCGGTTTGCGAGAATAATTCGAATCTCCTTGTGAACCATGCACAATGATACTCTCGCAATTATAAAACCCTTCCTGGAATTTGTTTTCTTTCTAGCAACTGCAGATCCTGGGGAATTACCAGTTCCTGATCCAAGATATCTGCATCACTCTTGTGGTTTGCCTCACAAGTAAGCAGCTCTGGTCGTGCCCGGTTTGTCCCAGGCCATCATCAGTGGGCACATCGGGGTGCATTCATGCCAGCTGTGAATCTGGGCACAAGACGCAGGCAGAGCAGCAGAGTAGAGCAGGAGGGGCTGCCCCGACACCAGCTGCTCCTTCCCACAGCATGCTTAAAACGGGTTTTCTGGGTTCCCACAATGTGATGGTTGTGGGAGAGCTGGATTCAGCACTGGGGGTAACAGCTGCTGGAGGAACCCCGAGGGGGCCAAGAGATTCCCTGGCAATCATAGGTGGAATGCGCTGACTGGGTTGGCACAAAATACCCAATCAAGATGAGCATCTTGTCTGAATCCGACTGCCAGTCTTTGCTCGCACAGTTAAGCGTGTTGTGCCAACCCACCAGTTGGCATCAAGTTGGCCCTCTCTTGGTCTGATCTCAGCCAGCAGAGCCCCGTCTGGACAGGCGGTGCCAGGGCTGCGTTGCTGGCCTGTCTCTTGGGCATGGGCGCCCCCAGGAACAGCTCTGCTTGGGCATCAGGCAGCTGGTGGCTTGCCACCCTGTCTTCTCCCCCCCTTCCACCTGAAACAATGTTGGGTAGGAACCCCGCCCCCCCCAGCAAAGAAAGGGTGGGTGGGGTGGAGAAGGGGCCCGCTTTTCCTTGGGGCACCTGGAGATCCTCTGGATTGTTCTCCCTCTGTCCTCCCAGTGAACCTGACCCACGCCTACCCCAAACTGGCCCCCTACCGCCCCCCTGGACGGCTGCTCTCTCCGCCACTGCTGCTCTCCGTCCTCTTCAACGTGGCCCTGAGCATCCTGCTCCAGCTCTTCGGCTTCCTCTACGTCAAGCAGCAGGCCTGGTACTTGCAGCTGCGGGGCCACTGGTGAGTGCACCCCCCCACACACCAACACACACACCAACACACACAAATCCGGGTGCCTGGGAGGATCTTCCAATGGCGGGACCTGGCCTGCTGCCTCCCCAGGTCCTGCTCCTGGCCTGGCCTGGCCATTGGGAGCGGCCGGACAAGGCCCCTGGAGGGAGGGTGGGGGGCTGGTGGTGAGGGACCCTCCCTGCTTCCCTCCTTCCAGTGGGTGCCCTTTGGGAAACCAGACCACCTGCCCAGGCAACGGGACGGCCAATGCACAGAAGCAAAGCGTTTTGAGCTACGAGACCACCACCCTCTGGCCCCTGGTGACCCTCAGTTGCATCGTCTTCGCCTTCGTCTTCTCCAAGGGGAGACCCTTCCGGAAGCCCATCTACACCAACTGTAAGTGAGAGCCCCCCCCCGCGCTCTTCTCCCCACGGCTGGCTTGGGGGTTTGGGCACGAGGGAAGGCTTTGTGGTATTATAATTATAAATAATTATTAGTTAATTATTATTAACGGTGACCCACCCAGAGCAACTGGCCCTGTTGCTCTGGGTGGGTCACAGTTAAAGCGGGATGAGCAGGAGTGAGGAAGAACCAGGCAGGAGGTAGTAAAAGCCACAGGTCGGGCTCAACTCCCACCTAGCCCCCACCTGGCTTGGGAGAATCGCTAGGGGTCAAAGGGGCTCTGCACTCTCTGCTTTCAGAGCTTGGTGGGTTTCCTGCAGACGTTTCAATACCAAACTCAGTAACATCATCAGTCTACTACTAGCACTGATGATGTTACCTAATGTTACCTAAAGGACCCAACATTCCCCCCTCACCCTCCTCCTCCTCCTCCCCCCATACCCTTCTCCCTTCCAGCTCTGATGAGGTTCCCTAGCTGGGTCATGAAATGTCTGCAAGAAAACAGCCGAGTTCAGAGAGCCACCAAGGAGCCCTCAGTTGAAGCCTAAGTTGCAAAGATTCTCTCTTTATTGCTCTCTGCTTTCAACCGTTCCAGGATTGTGGTTGGGCCACTGATTTAGGGATGCTAATATGCCACTTGGGCATCAGACTTCCTATCGTGGGGCGGTCATTGGAGGCCAGTGACTCCCCTTGTTCCTTGAACTGCCCAGGGGCTCCCTGTGGGCCTGAGGCCCCATGCAACTGCCCATCCTTCTGTGGGGTGCCACTCGTTCCCCAGGACTGACAAGACTCCCCCTCCCCCTTTTCCATCCCCAGATATCTTCTCTGGCATGTTGTGTCTGCAACTGGGGGTCTCCCTGTTCCTCTTCTTTGCTGATCTTGAGGGGGTCTACCAGAGGATGGAGGTGAGCAGGCAGGGGGCCTGCCAGTTTCCCCAGAGGCGAGTCGGGTAAACCCTATGGGGCAGAACGGGCTCCTCCTGGTGAGGAGGGAGGGGGGAGCCACTAAGCCCAACTGATGGGGAGCCTCTCTCGCCCCCTTGCAGCTTCTCTGCACCCCAACCATCTGGAGGGTCTACGTCCTGATTATGCTGCTGGCGTTCTTTCTGGTCTCCTCCCTGGTGGAGGTAAGCAAGGTGTCCCTCCCCAGGCAAGGATCCGGGGCTGCTGGGCTGGAAGCAAATGGCTCCTGCCCTGGGGCTGTGGCAGGAAAGGGGGGGGGGCTGCAGGATGGGAGCTGGCTTCAGGACCTCTCCTCTCTTGCCAGAGGACTCTGTGGCCCTCGGCTGACCCCCAACACTCTTTCCCCCTCCTTGAGTCCCACCGGGGGTCCTGATGGATGATCTCTCTGGCCTCTCTTGCCATCCTTCCAGAGTGGGGGTTGGTTTGCTGCCCTCCCCTTCCTAAGGGGGAGCCTCACTCATCCCCATGGCATTGCAATGGGGAAGGTCTGCTTTTGGGCTGGTCTCTGGTCTAGCGGACCCCCCGCATTCCAGGGTGGGTGGGCCTCTGAGGCCCCTTCAGCGGCAAGCCAGCGACCCCCTTGGCCCCCTTCCCTCCCTCCCAGGACGGCGTCCTGCAGAACCGGCGCCTGTGGCTGCTGATCAAAGCGCTCTGCCGCTTCCGCTCGTCCAGCCGGTACCGGGTGCTGCAGCGGCAGCTGGAAAGGGAGGCGATGTGGCCGCCCCTCCACGGGCGAGAGTGGGCGGACGACGCCGGCAGCTGCAGCCAGGCCTACCTCAACGCGGCCTTCGAGCGGGAGGAGCCCGCGGGCCACCCGGGAAGCCGCACCGGGGACTCTCCCGCCGAGCCCCGCAAGGGGCATCCGGACCCGCAGGAGACCCGCCGCTGGCACCGCTGCTCGGAAGGGCCTTTTCCCCGCGCGGCTGCGCCCTAGTCGGGGAGGGAGCTGGCCGAAGAGCCGCGGGGCTTCCCAACAGGCTGCCTCGGTCCCCGGCGCGCCATCAAGCCGAGGCTGCGGGCTCCAATCTGGGGAGGGCTCGGAGCTCGCAAGAAGCAGCCTCGGGGCCGCCCCCGGTGACCGCCTCAGATTGGATCCGGCAACCCTCTCCTGCTGGGGCGCCTCTGCTCTGCCCCCGCGGGAGCCGCCAAGGCTTGGCTGGCGCGCTCTCTGTGGGCGGGCGGAGGGCAGCCCGGGGGAAGCTCGGCCGCAGAGGTCTCAAGGGAGCGTCTCCCAACCGGCGGAAGATGCAGGAGCTGCAGCCACAATTCCTTTCAAAACCATTCCGTTTATTGGAAGCGCCCGGAGGTGGAAGGCGGGCTCGGCTCCTAGTCGCGCTCAAAGGCCGGGTTGGAGAGGGAGCCGAGGTTGCGCTCAGCCGCTGAGTTGCGGGTCCGGCGCGGGGCGCTTCGTTTCCTGCCAAGACAAGACCGCCTTAGAAGGCAGGAGGGGCCCAGAGAAGCAGGCTTGTCCCAGTGGGGGGGTGGGTGTGTCTGTCTCGGGGGACGATGCTTTAAGGTGCCAGCCCTGAGACTCAGGAAAGGGGGGGGGCTCTCTGGAGGGGCCCAATGAAAAATGCTGCTGCCCGACGGAGGCGGCCTTTCGGGTAGTGCGTCCTGGGCTGCTCTGGGTGGGGGCAGCAGCTGCGAGCAGCGGTTGGCCGTAGTTGCGGGGGCGGATTTGTGCTCTTCTCTGCTCCCCCCCATCGCCCCCCGTTGCTCTTCATCTTCTGCCTCCCTGCTGGACGCAGCGGCCACCCGAGGAAAAGGCCCCCTCCCTCGGAAAGAGCCCAGCCCCCTGGCCCCCCCCACACAGCCCGCGCAAGCGTCCGCAGAGCGCTGCTCCGCCAAGGCGCCCCCGCCGCCCACCCGCCGCGCTGACCGGCCTGCTGGCCCGGAGCGACTCACCTGCGCGCGCACGAGCAGAGCAGCACGGAGACCACCACGGCCAGCAGGACGGCGCCGGCCGCCACGCCCAGCGCGATGTAGAGGGGGAGCCGCCAATTGCCTGGGGGGGGGGGGGGGAGAGAAGGGGGCGGTCAGCGGAGCTCGGCCCAACGGCTTTGCGCTCCGCGGGGCTGCCTCCACACGGCGCGCCAGGTCGGCTGCTCCGGCCAAAGATAATATTGGCGGATGACTCTGGGTTGGGGGCGCCGTGCGAGCGCAGAGAAGGGATTCATTCGGTCAGCGGGACTCGCTTCCGGCCCTGGAGGGAGCAGAAGGCTGGCTAAATGCTGGCGCGCGGGTGTGGCTAAGGAGGGGCAGCAAAGGAGAAGATGTGTAGCTGAGGGTTGAAATGCGGCCTCCTTGGTGGTCTTGGGGCTTGGAGGTTTTCTTGCAGACGTTTCATGATCCAACCAGGTGACATCATCAGTGCTATTAAGGAATTAAACAAACCCCCCTCCTTCCTAGAACTGATCAAGTTACCTAGTTGGGTCAGCAAGAAAACAGCCAAGCTCAGAGAGCACCAAGGACCCCCAATCAGCCAACTTCGGAAAAGGGCTGCTGCCTCCTGGATGGGACCCCCAGGAAATCCGAGGGCAGGCTGGGTAGTTGGGGAAAATGTCGGCAACGCTTTTCTGCGCCTCAACCAGCCGTGTCCTTTCCTCACTTCCCACCACAGGCTTCAGCATTGGGGCATCTGCACAAAGTGCTCAATTTGGCCAGGATTAAGCTTGGGATGGGCGGTGGGGGAGCAGCTCAGTCCAGTACGTGACCGTGGCCTGTCTGGTTTTGCTTCAGTGGGAGGCGTGGCCCCCCCAAGGTGGCTGAACTCAGGATGTGGCCGGAATGCAGCCTAATTGGTCTAGGGTCTTCTGCTTGAGCAGGCGGTTGGACTAGAAGACCTCCAAGGTCCCTTCCAACTGGGTGGTTCTGACCCCTGAAGCCAGGATCAGTTGGGGGCCTTGCAGGGCTGGCCAAAAGGAGACGGGCTCCCACTGACGATGGCACCACCAGATCAGCTGCTGGCAGAGAAGGTCCTGGTCATGCCCAGCCCTGGGGATGCTGACCATCTCTGTGCCCCAAGCCAAGCCAGGCCACCTCAAACGGTAGATCCCACCGTCACCGGCTGTAAACTGAGGGCAGACACCGTCCAGGCGCTGAGTTTTCTCACGTAAAGGAGCCTGCCCTTCAAGGGTTAGATGGCCTGGATATTGGTATTTGGACACAGATCTGTTTAATATTCATATTTTACTGTGTTTTTAATTTAGGTGAAATGCTAATAGAGGTAGTCCTCAACTTATGGCTACAACTGAGCCCAGAATTTCTGTGGCTAAACATTTAAGGGAGTTTGGCCCCATTTTACAACTTTTCGTGCCACAGCTGTTAAGTGAATCACTGCATGTGTTAGTGACACGGTCGTTAAGTGAATCTGGCTTCCCCAGTGGACTTGCTTGACAGAAGTTCACAAAAGCAGATCACGTGACCCTGGCATGCTGCGACCGTCATAAATGTGAACCAGTTGCCAAGCGTCTGAGTTTTGCTCAATTAGTGACCATGGGGAGGCGGCAATAGTTGTAAGGGTGAAAAATGGTCATAAGTCACTTTTCCCAGGGCCATCCTGACTTCGAATGGTCACTAATGAACTTTTGTGAGTTGAGGACTAACTGTATAGGTTGCAAGTCCATATATGATACCCCATACGCTAAATAAATAAATGCCCCAAGCGGCACCCATCGCTTCTCTTTGGGGGCTCCGAGATAATATTCTATTATTAATAATTAATATTGAAAATAAAGATGTATATAATATAATCATAACCATAGTAATTGATAACAATGTAAATAATCTATTGTAAGAAGAAATTTAGTTTAAGCTTCTTGGCTATATTATTAGTACTGCTACTATATTATTACTATTGTTATTTGTGTGTTAATTTTTTTTGTTTTTAATTTGATTTATATGCCGCCCTTCTCCGGAGACTCAGGGCAGCTTACAATGCGTTAAGCAATAGCCTTCATCCTTTTGTATATTTATACAAAGTCAGCTTATTGCCCCCACAAACTGGGTCCTCAATTTACCTACCTTAGAAAGGATGGAAGGCTGAGTCAACCTTGAGCCTTGGCGAGATTCAAACTTACAGTAATTGCAGACAGCTGGTCTTAATCACAATGCTATCAGTCTGCTGAGCCACCGGGCTCTGTTATATGTACGATTATATGTTAATATATGTACTATTAACTTTCCTTTGAGTTTTTCTTACTTGTAAATGGTATACTCTGACAATGCACTGTTTTTCAAAAATGTTTATGAATAAAAATTTATATAAAAAAAGAAAATGCAGGGCTGGGGGCTCCCGGCTAGGAGCAGAACTGACCCTCTGGGACTGTCAAGGGTGACCCATCAACTACGGATCGGGAGGGGGGCTCCGGGGAAGGGCTTTACCTTCTGGCTCGTTCTCGCAGAATTTCCCATGGTATTTCTCCAGACATTCACACCGGAAGTCCTCTGAGCTGTCGTGCCACACGCACGTTCCATTGTGCAAGCAAGGATTCGGCTGGCACGGGTCGGCTGCACAGGAAAGGAGAAGGGGGGGAGGGGATGGAAATGGGCAGCCTTCCTGGCTGTGCCAGCCCCTAACCCTCCGTCTGGGCTGACCACTGCTTCAACTGGCGCAGAGTGCGGCCAGGCGGGTGGTAATGGGAGCGACATGGCGTTCCCATGTAACACCTCTCCTACGCGAGCTGCACTGGCTCCTGGTGGTCTTCCGGGTGCGCTTCAAGGTTTTGGTTACCATCTTCAGAGCGCTCCATGGCTTAGGACCTGGTTATCTATGGGACCGCCTACTACCACCAATAGCCTCCCACCGACCGGTACGCTCTCATAGAGAGGGGCTCCTCCGGGTGCCGTCGGCCAAACAATGTCGACTGGTGGCCCCTAGGGGGAGGGCCTTCTCTGTGGGGGCACCTACGATTTGGAACCAGAGATACGGAGGATCCCAGATCTGCGCACCTTCTGCCGCGCCTTAAATTATTTCACCAGGCGGGCCTGGCCTAATCTTTTCCCTCTTTTTAATTATGCAAATTTTAATTGGTTTTTAAATGATTGGGGTGTTTTAATCTGTCTGGGCCAAATTGTTTAATTCAATTTTACTTTGTTTTTAAATTTTGTATCTATGTACTTTTACTGTTTGGCTGTTCACCGCCCTGAGTCCTTCGGGAATAGGGCGGTATATAAATTAAATAAATCAAATCAATAAATCAACCACGGCCACAAGTGGGGAGGACTGGCAGAGTTCGGGGCAACACCTTTGGGCTCAGCTGGGGGCTCCCGGCTAGGAGCAGAACTGACCCTCTGGGACTGTCAAGGGTGACCTATCAGCTGCAGCCACGGATCGGGAGGGGGGCTCCGGGGAAGGGCTTTACCTTCTGGCTCGTTCTCGCAGAATTTCCCATGGTATTTCTCCAGACATTCACAGTGGAAGTCCTCTGAGCTGTTGTGCCGCACACACGTTCCATTGTGCAAGCAAGGATTCGGCTGGCAGGGTTCGGCTGCACAGGAAAGGAGAAGTGGGGAGGGGATGGAAATGGGCAGCCTTCCAGCCCCCAACCCTCCGTCTGGGCTGACCACAGCCACAAGTGGGGAGGACTGGCAGAGTTTGGGGCAACACCTTTGGGCTGCGAAGCTCGACTGCTCTGGGCAACATGTACATTTCGGGCAAACTCTGGTTTATTTTCGGGGTGGAAGTGGGGGTTAATGGGCTAATTTGATCACTTCCACCTGTTTCCCAACCCCAGAGGGAGACGAAAGCTTGCTAAAGGCCGAGGGTCCCTGCCTTGGGGGGAGTACTCTACCAGCCTAGGGTTAGGGTTTGGCTGAGTGCCTCTTGGATGCCCCCCTGCCCCTCAGGAGGTCTGAAGGTTGCCTGGAGGGCAGGCTGAGAAGTTGTTTTCTAGACTCCAATAAAAGAATCCTTGTAGCTCAGGGTTGACATGAGGGTCCTTGGGGCTCTCTGAGCTTGGTGGATTTTCTTGCAGACATTTCATTACCCAACTAAGTAACATCATCAGTGCTTGAAGGGAAGGAGGTTTGCTTTCACCCTACTACACTGATGATGTTACCTAGTTTGGGTAACGCAACGTCTGCCAGAAAACAACCAAGCTCAGAGAGCCCCGAGTACCCCTCATTTATAGACTCCTGTGCAGTTACCGCTCCTCTCTTCGGGGGCCCCAAGAGAACAGCCAGTCCCACCTAGGACTGCTTAAAGATGTGGGTCTCTGCTCTGGAGTGGAAACAAGGTCTGGGATGGACAAGAGGCCTGGGGACCCAAAGCAGCTTGTGTGACACACTAATTCAAGCCATGGATGAGGTGTGTGTGTGTATTTACCTTCTGGCGTGACCTGCATCTCACAGAGCAGTCCTTCATAATTCTCCGGACATTCACAGTGGAAGGTTTCTGGGCTGCCATCCAGCACACAGGTTCCATTGTTGAAACATGAATTTGGCTGGCAGGGGTCAGCTGCAGAGGAAAGGGGGAACACGGGGGCTTGGAAATTGGTCGCCTTCCTGGCTGTGGCAGCCCCCAGCCCTCAGTCTGGGATGACAAGGGCTACAAGGGGCAGGTGCCCCTCTTGGACACAAAGCACTGGCTTTTAGACTTAGACACCGCCTCCACAGTGCATTACAGCCCTCTCTAAGCGGCTTAAAGGGTCAGCCTACTGTCCCCAACAATCTGGGTCCTCATTTTATGGAAAGATGGAAGTCCGAGTCAACCTTGGGTCGGTCAGGATCGAACCCCTGAAAGTGAGCAGAGTTTGCTTGCAATGCCGCCTTCTAACCACTGCGCCACACACAAAGGGTGGGGAGTGCCTGCCTGCCCTACTGCAGCTCAACAGTATCCCCCTCCCCCCCGCCCCCCAGGAAGACTCACCACGATAGCAGCCACGGGTGAAGTTGAAGATCCTACAGTGGTGGTCCTGGGGGCAGCTTGCCAGCTTGCAGGAGGGGCTGGAACTGTTCGTACAGACGCAGTCTTGGCTGCAGTCATCGGTCATAAAGCGGTCCCCGACCTGGTCAAGAAAGGGGGAGCAGGGGATGAACTGGGACTCCCTGCCACTTTGCCCCAAGTAGCACCCCAAAGGAGGAAAATGCCCAACTGGACCAGCACAGTGCTCCTCAGGCTTCCCAACCCATACATGAGCAGTGGGGCTGAGAACCAATTTCAACTGGACGTACTTGGTATGCTTATAAAATGATGAGAAGAGCACCCTTTACACAATTGTGAGGGAGGGTCTTCTCTGTGTAAAGGTCTGCTTTGGCTCAAGATTCTGCAGAGGTTTTCAAAACAATGAGGAGTAGAAATAGCATTTGATATTTCTGGGGGTGGGGAGGGGGCCTTGATGTATTAATGGATTGCACTGGGTCAAAAGCAGGAGTGGTGCAGTGGCCTAGAGGTGGGGCTCTCGCCTCACAATCAGGAGGCTGTGAGTTTGATCCTAGGTAGAGGCAGATATTTCTCTCTCTGGGCACAATGAGAATATATCTGCTGAACAAACCTCCGCATTGGCGACGGGAAGGGCATCCGGCCATTAAACGCTCTGCTAGGCTCCATTCAGTTGCCCAGACTCCACCCCGCAAGGGATTATGGGGTCATTAAAAGACGATGATGACTGGTGTTGAAAGCACTACGGTGCTTTCGGGTTGAAAGGATTAGCTGGTGACGTCATCGTTGCCTGGGGGGAGGGGTGCCCATTTGGGGTTCCTTTAATGTCCCTGGCAGAGCTGGAGCAAAGCACAGGAGCTCACCCTGCTGTATGGCAGCACTTGGGTCTGAAACATGGTCTTGCTAACCTCCAACGCACCACCCTAAGCACGTGAGCCACTCTGCTCCCCATTTATGGATAATGTAGAAGGAACAGGTGGGCCTTTGGATAGTTTCAGATTCATGTCTTGGATTTTGAGCATTAAAAACAGGATTTTGCTTCTGTCCTTCCTTAGTTCAGGTGTGGTGCCCAAAGGGGGGGGGGAGAGGAGGGAGCTGCCTTACTGGAAAATATTCTCTTCTGCAGCTGGAGAACCTGGGGGTAGGCCCTCAAAAAGGGTGATGGGGTGGGGGGGAGGCAGGAGTGGGCCCCCTACCTTATAGTATTTGCCCAAGAAGTTGCAGCCGCATTCCCGGAAGGGCACGCAGTCAAAGCCGCTGAGGACGTAGCCAGACTCGCACTCGCAGCCTTCCACGCAGGGGGAGCTGCAGTCGTCAGGGGCTGCCAGGTCTGAGCACGACGGGGGACAGGCTGACATGCAGGGGTTGTAGTGGCTGTGGGGATGGCACTGGGGAGCTGTGGACGGAGAAGAGAAGCCTTGCATGGTCTGGGCCAGAGCGCAGCCCTCCTCCCACCCTGGGGAGCCAGAGCCCCTCCCTCTGCCCCACCAGGGGCCCATCAGGCAGAGCCTGGGGGAGTCTCTGGCAGCACCCTGGGAGCGTTGGGACAGGAGCGAGGCGACCCCGCCGGCTTCCCTGCCCAAGGACGGCCCGGGCCGAGCCCCCCTCCTGGGATGCACCCCAGAAGAAGGGAGCTGCTTCTCACCGCAGCCGGTCACTGCCCTCCAGCTGGCCACCGAGGCATTCTTGCTCTGGCAGGCCCAGGCGTACTGCTCCAGGATGGGGCACAGGCGGCTGGTCCGGTTGGCTTCTCTGCACATGTCGAACACGCAGCTCCTGCAGCAGGAGGAGGAGCAGAAGGTTGCAATGGGCCGCCATGGGCAGTGGGAGGGGGCTCTGCAGGGCAGGGAAAGAAGGGGGCTCCAGCACGGGAGGAGCAGAAGCGCAGAAGGCAGAGGGAGGGAGGGAGAGAGAGGGAGGGGCTCTTCCCCAGAGAGCAAAGAGGCAGGGAAGCTTGGAATGTCTGGTGGGCAGGAAGAGGGCAAAGGCCGACCCTCCCTGGCAGTTGGCAGGCTGGAGCTAATAAGTGATGCAGATTAGCTGCTTTACTCTGGCATTATTTCTGCCTGTGGGGGAGCTGCTCTGAAGGAACTCCTCCCTCCTAGGGCAGCTTTGGGGGTGGGGGTGGGGCTTGTCTGCCAAGGTTACCTCATCCTTATGTGCTTGGGGATCAGGATGAAAGAAGAGTGGCAAGGAAGGAAGGAAGGGAGGGAAGAAGGAAGGAAGGAGAGGGAGGGAGGGGGAAGACATGGAAAGGAAGGAGGGAGGGAGGTTTTGAAGTGGAGATCTGGATTTTGCAGCCTTGGGGTGGGGGGGCGAGGGGCATGTGGGGCTGCCGCAATCCCCTTCTCCCTGCTGTTCCTCTCCAGCCCATAAAAGGGCAGACGTGGCACCTCCCCCTGAAACCTCCTGGCCCCCACAGGGGATGGGGTGGGGTGGGGTGGGGTGGGAGGAGAAAGCAGCACTCACTGTAGGAAGGGGTCGGGGGTCTCGTGGGCCAAGCAGCCTTGGAAGGGGCCCTTGGGGTCTGCCAGGACGCCACAGACGGAGCTGCTGCTGAACACCTTCAGGTCCTCTTCGGAGCAAAGGGGGGAAAATCCCACGTCCAGCTCAGCTTCCTCCGGGGGTTCTTCAGCAACGAGGCCTCGCCTGGAAGGCCAAAGGGTTTGCAGGAGGAAGGGAAAGAGATCCCAAAGAGCCGGAGGGCATCGGCAGCTTCTCAGCGGCTGAGCCCAACTAAGCCCAGCTGGGCCATCCTTCCCCATCTACCCAGGGCTCCAGGAGCAGCCGGAAAGCACCCAGGGCCTGGTATGGGCACCCCAGTTCCGGCTGCCCACCTACACTCCTCTCAGGGAAGAATTTGGCCAGGACGGGTGAGGCCTGCAGCGGACAGTCCAGAGACAGGAGGTGTGTTCTGCCCAGAAGCCTGGCCGATGTTGAGTGGGCCAGAAGCCCTGGCACCGAGTCCCCTCCCCTGCAGATGGCAGGCAGAGGGTCCTTGGACTGAGGGAGGGAGGCAGCCACAGGGGTGGGCTTTGACAGTGGTGGAATCTAAAATGTGTTACTACCGGTTCTGTGGGGGTGGCTTGGTGGGGGTGGGGGTGGTAATGTGACTGGGTGGGTGTGACGTTTTTTTTTTTCCTTTTAAAACCATTTTTTGTAATGCTTTCAAAAGGCTCCGACCATCCCAGCTGAGTTGCCTGATCGGCAGAGGCTTCTTTTCTGCTGATCAGGCAACTCAGCTGGGCTCATCAGCTGACGATCCCTTTGACGATCCCAGCTGAGCCGCGCGATCATCAGAGGCTTTTTTTTTTTTTAATTTTTAAAAGCATTTTTTTGGCCAAAGAGGTTGTAGAAAAAATGCTTTTAAAAATTAAAAGAAAAAGCCTCTGATGATTGTTTTTTTTTTTTAATTTGATTTATATGCCGCCCTTCTCCGGAGACTCAGGGCAGTTTACAGTGCATTAAGCAATAGCCTTCATACTTTTGTATATTTATACAAAGTCAGCTTATTGCCCCCACAAACTGGGTCTTCAATTTACCTACCTTAGAAAGGATGGAAGGCTGAGTCAACCTTGAGCCTGGTGAGATTCGAACTTACAGTAATTGCAGACAGCTGGTCTTAATCACAATGCTATCAGTCTGCTGAGCCACCAGGCCCTGGTGGCTCAGCAGACTCAGCTGGGCATGAGGGGGGCAGGGGGGGGCAGGGATTTTTCTACGGGTTCTCTAAACCACCCGCCTCCATCGCTACCGGATAGGGCGATCCGGTCTGAACCGGGAGCATTTCACCCCTGGCTTTAACCCTCCTTCCGCACGCCTCGGGAAATGGGAGGTTCCCATTGACTGGATGGGTCCAAGCAGAGGCTAGACGGCAACCGCCAGGAATGCTAGCATTTGGTTTCCTGCTTGCAGCAGGGGGTCAGACTAGATGGCCTCTAGTACCCTTTAAGTGGATTCTAGGATTCCACTGCAGGACAGATAGGGGCTTGTGGCTCCATCACCAATGCAGGTTAATGTAGTAACCAGGCTGAGGCTACTGTCCAATCACAGCGCCTGGGATCGTGTCGACCCTCCTCTGCAGGGAGCGTGGTCCTGGCACGTGGTGGTGTTGCTGGTGGGCGGGGGCTGCGGGGGTCCTGTGGAGGGCTCAGCCTGCCTCTCAGAGGCACCGCTGTGGTGATGGCTGCTTTCAGGAGCCCCTACCTGAGGCGGGAGGCGCCCCTCTTGACAGGGACTTGCCAGCTCTCCCCGAAGGTGTTCACGTCTTTGACCAGGGTGCCATCTGGCTTGGCAAAGTCGTTCTTGTACTTTCCATCAAAGTTGCCACAGAGGCCTTCCAGGTTCTTTTTGTAGCTGTTGGGCAGCAGGATGCCTGGCGAGGGGAAGAATAACAGAGTTGGGAGGGACCTCGGAGGTCTTCTAATCCAACCCTAGACCATTCCAGACGAATGGGTGTAGAGTCTCTTCTTAAAAGCCTCAACTTCTGAAGGCCACTTCCCTTCCACCAGTTAATTGCCCTCCCTGCTAGGAAGTTTCTCCTTAATTCCAGGTTGCTCCTCTCCTTGGTTACTTTCCATCCGGTGCTTCTTTTTCCTCCCTTCTGATGCTTTGAAGAATAGGTTGAAACCCCCCCCCCCCCGTTTGTGGAAGCCCCTTAAATATTGAAACACTGCCATCCTGTCACCCCCGAATCCTTCTCTAGACATGCCCAATTCCTGCAGGCGTTCTTCGTATGGTTTGTTCTTGCTGCAATGGGACCCCAAATTCCTGGGCCAATCCAGCCCCCCCCCCCCCCCCCCCCCCCCCCCCCCAGGTGCCCCCCCCCCCCACAGCCTGTGCAGCTGCTTCACCTGAATTCTCCAAGCCATCAAAGCTGACCGAGAGGCCAAAGTCAGACTCCAGGAAAATCTGCCTTCCGCTCTGCTGGATGCGAAGCCCCTCATGAGGTCGCGCTGGGGGCTCAGTGGCCACTCCGTCCACCTGGGGGAGGGGGAGAGATGACAGCATGGCCCTTGTTCTCCAAAGGAAACCTTAGGACTCAGCAACCGTCATAAGTCCTTGCCAGTTGCCAAGCACCCGGATTTTGATCGTGTGACCACAGGGATGCTGCAATGGTCATAAGTGTGAAAAATGGTCATAAATCACTTTTTTTCAGTGCCATTGTAGCTTCACGTGGTCACTAAATGATTGAGCCCCACTGGTCCCTTCCCTTTCACAGGCAAAAGCCACTTAAATCAGGGGCCTCCAACCTTGGCAACTTTAAGCCTGGTGGACTTCAACTCCCAGAATTACCCAGCTGGCTGGGGAGTTCTGGGAATTGAAGTCCATCAGGTTTAAAGTTGCCAAGGTTGGAGGCCCCTGATTTAAAGGACTTTCCTGAGAAGCCTCACAGCAGGCCTCGGAACTGGACGTTGTCTTTTCATTGAGGCCGTGAAAATAGCAGTGAAAATAAGTCTTAGCAGCACAAGTGACTCTGAAGACGAGATGAGTTTCTTCCGCTTCAAGCATATGACAGGCAGTCCTTGACTTCTGGCCACAGTGGAGCCCAAAATTTCTGTTGCCAAGTGAGACAATTAAGTGAGTTTTGCCACTTAAGTGAGTTACGACCTTTCTTGCCATTGTTAAGTGGCAAGCGGTTAAGTTAGTGACACGGTTGTTAAGTGAGTCTGGCTTCCCCATTGCTTGTCCGAAGGTCGCAAAAAGGGGATCACATGACCCCGGGAGACTGTGACCGTCATTAATACGAGCCAGTTGCCAAGCATCCGAATTTTGATCATGTGACCATAGGGACGCTGCCACGATCGTGTGAAAACTGGCCTTAAGTCATTTTTTTCCAGTGCTGTTGAAACTTTGAATGGTGACTCAATAAATGGCTGTAAGTCGAGGAATACTTGCATTTCCCCACTTCTGCCAGGGGTGGGGTGAGGGTGGGAAGGGAGGCCCTTTTCTGGGGGTGCCCTGGGACTCTGGCACGCCACGTTGCCTTTCAACAGCAGGAGACTTCAATAAGTCAAGACACCTCCCCCCCCCGTTTCATCCCCAGGCCCCTCTCCTTGGCATCACCAGGCTGGCTCAGACAATGTTGCCCTGCAGAGCTAAAGCTGGTGAGGGGGCTTTGAAGGCCACCTGGGCAGAGCTGCCTTCAGAAGATTGCCATGAAGCCCCCAGGCTCAGAGTTGGTGCAGCGCCGCTGTAGTGCCAAGGAAACCCGGAAGCGCCCTTACCACCAGCTTCTTCCTCTGCTTGAAGAGCACCGTGTGGTTGTAGACGCGGATCCGCAGCTCCTTCAGCATGGAGGGCTGGCCGGACCCCCTCACCAGCCGGTTGGTCCCTTCGATGCTCAAGGGCTCCAGGCGTTCGGAGGCATCGGGGCGGCTCTGTGCCAGCACGTAGGTGTGCAGCCCTTGGAAGTGGTGCAGCAGGCCGTCGAAGGTCAGGTAATGCGGGTCTCCCGTGATCAAGCACTTGCCAAATCCTGGGGGGGAGCGGGGGAAGGTGAGATCAGCTAGCGGCTCCTGCACCATCACAGGCTCAGGCTCTGCTCCCCAGTCTCCAAACGGAGGGTTCCTTAATGGGACCAGTTTGGCCAGCGGCTTCTCTTTTCTAGTGACTGCTCAGTGGGAAACATCCACCTGTCCTGGGCTGGTCTTGGATTCCAAGGACTCCGTGGGGTGAATGGGGCTGGACTGAAGACTGTCCCCACAGTTGTCTCCTGGACCGTGCCTGGGTTGAGGGGTCCTTGGGGCTCTCTTGAGCTGGGTGGTTTTTTTTGCAGACTTTTCATTACCCAACTAGCTAAGGTCATCAGGGATAGAAGTGAGGAGGAGGAGGAGGAGGAGCTCTCGCAGCTGGGTGGTAGACATTTCATGACCCAATTGGGTAATATCATCAGTGCCAGTGACTACAAAACACGAAGCTCAGAGAGCGCCAAGGAGCCCCCATTTCAACCCTGAGCTAGAAATACCCTCCTCTATGGGCGTCACTGGGTTTTTCCCAGCTGAACCCCCGAAGGCTGGGGGAGGGGGTGGGCGGAGTAGGATTACACACACGGGGACTGCTGCCTTTATCAGGCGGCTGCTTCAAGTGTGCGTGGGTCCCTTCTCCCCAAAGCTTCGGCTCCTTTCCCCGCAGCGAGCGCCTCTAAGCCGTACCTGAGGGTTTGCAGCGCAGCTTCCCGTCTTTCTTGGTGTCGCAAACCTCGCCAGCTTCACAGCCGAAGTCCTGGCACTTGATGGAGCCGCCTTTGCGGCAGCGGCACTTTTGGCTGCAGTGGGGGGTGAGCCAGCTCTCCCCGATCTGCCAGAAGGAGCGTGACCTGGGGGTTAGTGAAGGGCCACGAGGGGAGCCCCCTTCCACAGCCTTTTGGGGCTGCTGCGCACCGCCGTGGCTCACCGCCCCAAGGCCGGGCAGTTGGAGGCTGCGCCCGACAAGGCTCTGATCCCCTGCAGGCAGGAGGGAGCCCCACTTGCCTTGTGGTACCGGCCGTCCTTGTCCTGGCAGCCGCACTGGCTGAGGGGCACACACTGGTCGTCGCTGAGCACGAAGCCCTGGTGGCAGACGCAGCCTTCCAGGCACTGCCCCGGAGGCTTCTCACACAGCTCCCCGGCGTAGATGTTGCTGCAGGTGGGCGGGCAGGGAGGGGCACAGGGGGAGTAGAAGCTGTTGGGGGGGCAGGGCAGCGCTGGAGGGAAGGAAAGAGAGAGGGGCTTTAGCCAGGGCCCCAGCCGGTTATTTATTTATTATGAAATTTATTTGCTGCCCATCTTGTTTCAAAGCGACTTTGGGTCATTTACAACACCAAAAAATTAAAATCACCAAATACACCCAATAAGGTAGACCTTGACTTGAATAATGAATAATCAGAATAGAGCTGGAAGGCCCCTTGGAGGTCTTCTAGTCCAACCCCCTGCTCAGGCAGGAGATCCTAGTCCATTCCAGACAGGTGGCTGTCCAGCCTCGTCTTAGAAACCTCCAATGATGATTTAGCCCCAAATTTCTGTTGCTAAGCGAGACGGTTGTTAAGTGACTTTTGGCCCATTTTGCAACATTTCTTGCCACGGTTGTTAAGTGAATCACTACAGCTGTTAAGGCAGCAACACGGCTGTTAAGTGGATCTGGCTTCCCCATTGATTTTGCTGATCAGGTCGCAAAAGGGGATCACGTGACCTCTGGGACACTGCAACCGTCATAAATATGAGTCAGTTGCCAAGCGTCTGAATGTCGATCTGGTGACCCTGGAGAGGCTGAATCCGGTCATCAGTCTGAAAAACGGCCACAAGTCCCTTTCTTCAGTGCCGTTCTAACTTTGAGCGGTCACTAAATGAACGGTTGTAAGTCGAGGGGAGGTGGGGTAACTCTTACTTAAGCAGCCACCTCCAGTATGAAGCTCCCCCGTTGGGTGCCCAGGCCACCCGGTCTTAAGACCCTTCCCAAAAGTCAGGAGGGTGGGAGCCACAGCAGGGAAGCCCCTTCTCCTGGGGGCACACACACACACACACACACACACACGAAATGCCCTGGCCGATGGGGCCCCCAGCAGGCCTCCCCTGCTGCTGTGGCTGGGGCAGGGGTTATGCCGGGTCCAGGAGACAGACCAGCTGCGGAAGAACGCTTGCCAGGCCAGCTCCCTCTCTGGCACTTGGCACAGGGCAATCCTCTGCCCACCTCTGCCCACGTTTCCTCTTCTGCCTCTCCGCTTCCTCCCCGGACCTCCCCCCCCCCCAAGATCTGCTTCCCAGGCTGCTTACGGCAGAAAGTGCTGTTCCTCCACTGGATGGGCACTCCCTTGGCCTGGCAGGCGTCCACGTAGGCTTGCACCACGGCACACAGGGTGGCACGCATCCCGTCGTACTTGCACATGTCGTAGACGCAGGTCTGGATGAAGAGGTCTGGCTGCACCAGCGGGTGGCAGGGCACGAAGGCGCCGGACTGCAGGACCCGGCACTGCTCTTTCACGGAGGGCAGGTCGCCCTGGGCACAAGGGGGTCCCAGCTCTGGGCGTGTGTCTGGCAGGCAGCTGCAAGAAGGCAGGCATGGGGGATTTGGCTAGGGAACCAGAGACAAAGGGGGCCCAGGCGCCTCTGGAGCTCAAGGGAAAGGGGGGCGCCCCCAACTGGAAGCCCCAAATGTTTTGCAACTGAGTTACAACCGTATTATGAGTTGGAGTCAGGTGACACTGATGTAGAATTGAATGAATGACTGAATGACTGACTGACTGAATGAATGAATGAAGGATAGCCAAGGAGGGGAAGACCCACCTTGAGTCTTCGGGATCGTCCACCTTCCAGCTGTTCCCGAATTGAGTGACGTTCTTGGCCTGGGAGCCGTTGGGCATCAGCAGCTCATCTTCCTTTTGGCCATTGTAGTTCCCACAGAGGCCACGCACCTGGAGGTAAGAGGGAGGTTTACGTGAGTCCCTGGGCCTCAAGTTCAAAATACAAACCCTACTAAACAGCAGGACTGCGTTTCCGTTGCCTGGTACAATGGGATGCTTCACTACCAACTAGATAGAACTCTGACTGTGTTACCTAGTTGGGTAATGAAACGTCTGGAAGAAAACAACCAAGCTCAGACACCCCCAAGGATCCCACAGTCCTCTTCCTCCCTGCTTCTAGCACTGATGATGTTCCCTAGTTCGGTCATGAAACGTCTGCAAGAAAACCACCAAGTTCTGAGAGCCCCAAGGAGCCCTCAGTTCAATCCTGAGCTGCAAAGATTCTCCTCTGTGGGTACAATGGGGTAGCCTGACCTCAGAGTCATAAGTGGGGCAGTTGACCCCTTGGTACCAACCCCTCCTCTCAGCCAGTTGGTGGTTCAAGAAACTGAGTGTATTTAGAGTGGGGGCTTCAATGGCGTGAGGCACTTACTCTGAGTAAAAATTTCCTTATTTTTTATTATTATATAATAACAAATATTATTATTTTAGTTTAGTTTTAGTTTTTTCATTTTGTTCATTCAAATTTGTAATTTTCGTTTGATGAATAAAAAATAGAATTGAAGAAGCTTCTTGGATGAGAAGTGAAGTGATTTCAAAGGAAAAAACCAAGAAAGTCCAGTTGGAAAAACTACTATTAGACCCAGACCAGGCTTCAGCCCATCCACAGAGGACCGAAGAACTGCTAGCTGGGATGGGATTCCTTTATCAGAAGCAACTGTCTCCGAGGGCCATCGGATGGAAGGTGGCCATCCAGGATTGGGCAATGGATGGAATCTTATTTGGGCCCAGCTGTTCCTGGAGCCGGGATGCCGGGTTCAGAAGGTCTTGAGTAGAACTCCGAAGCCCCTCGGTGTGTCTGAGGAGACCTTCCAGCCAGCAGAAGTCAGCGCCACAGAGCTGTGGGTGAGGTTTGCTCTCCAGAGGCAAAGTTGGGTGCAAACCCAACATTTCACCTGGATCCCCTTCCACCTGAGACTCACCTGGGAGTAGTAGGAGCTTGGCAGGCTGATCTCCAAGTACTGATTCCCATCGTATTTCACCATCAGCCCAAAGTCAGTTTCCACCACCATGTAATTGCCAACGTTCGACACGGTCACCGAGTTTCGTTGGGAGCGGCTTTCCACTGGGGTGTAGGCTCTCATCTTGTTGAGCTGCGGAGGGACAGTTATGAGTCAGCCCTGGGAAGGCACACAGCCCCCCCCAAACACATGGGGGGTTTCCTTGCTTCCCCACTGGGAGAGCCATGGAACTACTGGTAGTCCTTGACTTACAACAGTCCATTTAGTGACCAAAGTTACAACGGCACTGGCCATTTTTTGCACTTACAGCCACTGCAGCCTCCCCAGGGTCATGTGATCAAAATGCAGACGCTTGGCAACTGGTTCATACTTATGACGGTTGCAGCGTTCCTGGGGTCACGTGATCCCCTCTGACAAGCAAAGTCAAGATTCACTTAACCACTGTGTCACTAACTTAACAACTGCAAAGATTCACTGAACAATGGTGGCAAGAAAGGTTATAAAATGGGGCAAATGTCTCGCTTAGGAATGGAAATGTTGGGCTTAATTGTGGTCGTAAGTCGAGGACTACCTGCACTCGGCTCTTCCGAAAGGATTGGATAACCCTGGAAAATCCCTATGAACAAGTACAGACTTCAAACCAGCCATGGCTATAAATGGAGAACTAGTCAACCCCTAAACCAGGGGGGTCCAACCTTGGCAGCTTGAAGACTTGTGGACTTCAACTCCCAGAATTCCCACAAGCTGCCAAGGTTGGACATCCCTGCCCTAAACTGAAGCTCAGTCAAAAGTTACCGGTCACTGACAAGAGCTCAGAAGATCTGAAGCCACCCAGGTCCCCTTTGTACCAGAATCTTCTTGTCTTTCTGGAGAGTGATCCGTAGGTCGTACACGTCCACATGGACCTCCCGGAGGTAGGTGGCTCCACGTAAGCCCCGGTCTTCATTTTTCCCCGTGATGTTGAAGGGAGTGACAGTGCAGAGGTTCCGGCTGTCACAAGCAGTGACCAGGGTGTACAGGCAGGTGCCCAGGAAGGTGTGCATCACTTTGTCAAAGGTGTAATAATGGGGATCACCCACCACGTGGCACGATGCCCGGCCTGCAAGATGCGGAGAGACTTTGGTAAGCTTAAGGGGGCATATTTTCAGGTTTTCTTGGCAATCACCTAAATAGGAGCCAGCTATGTGCTGCAGCAGCCAAAAAAAAAAAAAAAAACCCCAACACAATCCTAGGCTGCATAAACAGAGGGATAGAATCAAGATCACGTGAAGTGTTAATACCACTTTACAAGGCCTTGGTAAGGCCACACTTGGAATACGGCATCCAGTTTTGGTCACCACGATGTAAAAGAGATGTTGAGACTCTAGAAAGAGTGCAGAGAAGAGCCACAAAGAGGATTAGGGGGCTGGAGGTTGAAACATGAAGAATGGCTGCAGGAATTGTCTACTCTGATGAAAAGAAGGACTAGGGGTGACATGATAGCAGTCTTCTAAGATTTGAGGGGCTGCAACAAAAAAGAGGGGGTCAAGCTATTCTCCAAAGTGTCAGAAAGCAAGACATGAAACAATGGATGGAAACTAATCAAGAAGAGAATCAACCTAGGAATAAAGAGAAACTTCCTGACAGTGAGAACAATTAACCAGTGGAACGACTGCCCTCCAGAAGGTGTGGATGCTCCATCACTGGAGGCTTTTAAGATTGCCCAAACATTTGTCTGAAATGGCAGAGGGTCTCCTGCTTAGCAGGGCATTGGACTAGAAGACCCCCAAGGTCCCTCCCAACCCTGTTATTCAGTTCATCTCTCTTGTTTTCCCTTCTCACTGTACCAAGTCTGTGTGGTCAGGGCCAAACCACCCCTTTCTTTGATGTTTCTAAGGAATTGCTTATTTGTATTAGAAGATCTCCTCGGTGCCCTTGGAGTGCCAGGCTGATTTTGCCGGCAGTTCTGCTAATTCTCCATCCTGCCCATCATGAAACATATGCCAGTCTGACATGCTGAACTTACCCTTGGTATAGCAATCCAGCACTCCATCCTGAACAGCACAATTCTCCTGCACGCCACATTGCCAAGAGGCACACTTGATGACATTGTTGTGCCCGCAGGTGCATCGATTTTTGCAGGACTCATCAATGAACCAATTCTCCCCCAGCTGCCAAGAAGAAGAGGGGGAAATCGTAGGTTAGAAAGTCACTGAGACCCTGCAAAAAATGGCCCTTCCTTCCTCCCTTCCTCCCTTCTAGGAAGTTGATGGCTGCAGCCCAATCCCCCCTCCCCATTGGCTCAGCCCCTCCAATCTCCGCTGGCTTTCCTCCCCCCCTGGAGTCCATCTTCAGTGGCCTGAGCTCCGGTTCCTTGTGTTGCGTATCACATTTCTGAAGATTGGTTCTGAAAAGGCAGTTCGGAGCTTTAGGCCTCCCTCGAGCACAAAGTCCAGGTAGAAACAACATTGGGTTCTTTGCCTTAATCAAAGCAGTCACTTTAGCCATCTCTGCTAACTCCAGCGGCTTTTGCAGCCATCCATCCATTGTAGGAATCAAAGCATCCATTTTTTTGGCATAAAGTTTTCTTGCTGCTGTCAGCCTACTGCGAGTTCAAATCTCACCAGGCTCAAGGTCGACTCAGCCTTCCATCCTCCCAGGCCCCCCTCCAGAGGAGAAAAACCCACCTGATAGTAGTTGTTCTGGTCATCCACGCAGCCGCAGTCAGTCTCCAGGACACAGGTGTCTCCACTCAGGACAAACCCTTCGTTGCAGAAGCATCCGTCCATGGGGAGGGAGCTGCACGGGGTGGGCCCTCGGGGCTTAACACAGCTGGAAGGGCAGGAAGGGCCACAGCTGCTGTAGTGGCTGTTGACAGGGCAGGAGACGGCTGGAAGGGAAGAGACCTCCGTCACGGGAGAGGTGTCGCTCACACCAACACAACTTTTCACCCAAATCCCCCTCAGCTCTAGTCAAGGTGGCCACGTGATTGAGGAGGGTGTTGAGCAGGTCTGGTGGCCTTTTGCCTGGGCCATGAAGAGGAGAAAGGAGGAGGAGGAGAAGAATGGAGAGAGTGGGAAAAAGAGGAAGAGGAGGAGGAGGAAAAGATAAAGAGGAGGAAGGACAGTCAGCAGGAGCCAAGAGGTGCACTGGAAGGACCCAGAGGGAAACTGACAGCTGAGAGCAGCTTCACCCAGTCAGAGGTGGTAAGAGGGGGGAGGCTGGGACATTGGGGGTGCCCCAAGACTCCGTCCTTCTCTTCAGCAGCTCACATGAAGCCATTGGGGGAGATTGCCCTACCCCCCCGCCCCCACTTGGGAGAGGGCTATTATCAACACGTTGCTGACACCCAGGGATAGAGCCCGGGGTGCAAGGGCAGGTGTCACGGGCTAGAAGCTCTGCCCAGGCCCTGGAGGCTGTGTGGGGCCAGATGGAGACTCAGACCCAGTCTCTCACTTCAGAAGCCACCCCCCCCCCATTCCAGGACAATATCAAGTTTGTCTCTCAGGGTGGGGGTGGGGCAGAACCCTACAACCAGGGGGGGCGGTCTTCTACACTCAAAACTCCTGCTGGTTTTCCATGCATGCTTGTATTTTTTTCATCATCTAATGTCCTACAAGAGATAAATAAATAAATTATCTATCCACTGGATGGATGGAAGGAAGGAAGGAAGGAGGATGGAAAGAAGGAGAGGAGAGGAAAGAAGAGTGGAAGGGAGGAAGGAAGGAAAGAAAAAGAAAAAAGGAAGGAAAGGACATGGAAGAAGAGTGGGAGGGAGGGAGAGAAATAAAGGAAAGAAAGAGAAAAAGAAAAAGAAAGAAAGAAGGAAGGAAGGAAGGAAGGAAGGAAGGAAGGAAGGAAGGAAGGAAGGAAGGAAGGACAGAAGGAAGGAGACCTGCTCTTTTGGCTCCCTCCCTCACAGCCACCTGGCTGTCCAAATCTAGTCCTTAGGTTCTCCTGAGCTGGTCCCAAGTCTCCTCTGACGCTTCCCTGCCAAGGCTCCCCTCCCCCTCCCCGTCCCCAAGCGCAGCACTTACGACAGAGGGTGGAGTTCCGCCATTCCACGCACACCCCAGCGTTGGCGCAGGAGGCAGCGTAGGCTTGCAGCCCGTGGCACACGGAGGTCTGCTGTCCTTGGGTGAGGCACACGTCATAAATGCAGTTCTCCAGGAAATGGGTTGGGTCCACCACAGCATGGCACTGCCTGAAGGGCCCTGGGCAAAAGAGGAAGGAGTCAGCATGGCCACAGGACCTCGGGGGGGAGGGGCATCCCTTTTGCTGAACAGACAAAGGCAGGTCCCAGGGGCTTCTTCTGGAGAAAGCTGGAGGCTTGGCAAGCAGACATGGGGGTCTTCCCAGTCAAAGCCCCTCACGCGTGCCTTTGCCTCAGCCTGGACTCCTGTTAAACTGGGGGAGGCACCCATTGCAAAGCTTCTGCCCCCAAGCATTTGCCCTAGCCAAGGGGCCTGTCTAGCGTGCTGCCTTGCAAATAAAACACCTCTCGGCCCTTTCCTCTTAACACGCCCGGCCTGCACTTGGAAGGGCCGTGCGAGCTCACAATGAGAGAGGCAGCAGTTCCACTGTGGAGCCATTCTAACCCACCATGACAGTTCTGGATCCATACCTGTTGGATCTGTGATCAGGCGGCAAGCGGAATCCCTCCGAATTTCCTCTTCCAGCCCTGGGTCACACAATTCTGATGGGACGGAACATCTGCCAGAGGCCAGAAGGGAGATACGGCTCAGGACAATCCCATTGGCTTCCAACCATCCTTATTGGGAGGGTGGGAGGGATACTGAGTATGACCCCCTCCCCATGAAAGATGAAGAGGCGCGATGGGAAGCACCATTCGACACCTGGAAGGGCCAGCCAAGGTCCAGCCCCTCAACTGGAAATCTTTTCTCCTAGCCCAACAACTATTAGGGTTAGGGTAAGTAAGTAAGTAAGTAAGTAAGTAAGTAAGTAAGTAAGTAAGTAAGTAAGTAAGTAAGTAAGTAAGTAAATAAGAAAATAAGAAAATAACTAACTAACCAACCAACCAACCAACCAACCAACCAACCAACCAACTAACTAAATAAGGAGACTATTCATAGCTCGGGGCTGAAATGAGGGGTCCTTGGTGCTCTCTGAGCTTAATTATTTTCTTGCAGATATTTCATTGCCCAAATTAGAGAACATCATTGGTGCAAGCGCTATGCATCATAGCAATAGTAACAACACTTAAATTTATATGCTGCTTCATAGAGCTTTACAGCCGTCTCTAAGCAGTTTACAGAGTCAGCCTCTTGCCCCAAACAAAAATGAGGTGGGTCTTCATTTTACCCACCTTGGAAAGAAGGAAGACTGAGACAATCATGGGCCGCTCAGGATTGAACTCCTGGCAGTGAGCAGAGTTTGCCTGCAATGCTGCACTTTAACCACTGCAGCACCATCAGTGCAATGAAGCTCAGGCAGCACCAGGGACTCCTCAGAACCCTTTGAATACGAGGAGCACCACCTACGAGGAAGGCTCTTGTAGCGCTAAGAGATTCCCATCACTGGAGCTCTTTGGGTCTTTCCCTCCACAAAATGTGCCTCAGTGTAATGGAATAAAGTCTGGATTCCCAGGAGGGAGGGAGGGGAGGGACAAAGGCAACTCAGTTCACACAATTTGTGTGGGAGAAAGAGGGTGAAGATGGCTCCTCCCTAACCATTCCCAGAGCCTTTGCTTTATAAGGGTGGTAGCTTGCTTTAGTTTGCCAAGATTCTATCTTTAGGCAAGGAACAATAAAGAAATTTGCTTGGAAGAATCACAACATTTTTGGAGCCTGACACTCAGCTAAGTCTATGCCAACAGAACATACATGCTACTGCTGTCTGGGACAAGCCAACTATTTCCGAGTTGAGTTGAGTCTCCTGCAGGTTGTCCATCAGGCTTTAGATTGTCATCTCCTGGATTCCCATTGAAATTACCTTTGGAGGGAGAGAAAGAGAAAACCATTATCTCTGGGGCCACATTTCTTTATCTGACCAACATTTAGCATTCTGTTTGAAAGGGATGATCCCACCCTCACCTGGTCAGCAAAGAGTTGCAGGACCAGAAACCAAAACTAATCAAGGAGAGAAGCAACCTAGAACTAAGGAGAAATTTCCTGATGGTGAGAACAATTAATGAGTGAAATGACTTCCTTCCAGACGTTACTGGAGGTTTTTAAGGAGAGACTGGACAGCCACTTGTCTGGAATGGAACAGAGATTCCTGCTTGAGCAGGGAATTGGTCTAGAAGACCTCCAAGGTCCCTTCCAACGCTCTTATTCTGACCAACGATCTTTGCTCCTGCTGATTCCAACTCTTATCATCCTTCAAGAGTGGCCCTCTCTTGTCCATCTAAGGTCCCATGTCTCACCACACAGGCCGCAGAGCAGTCCCTGGTACTCGGGTGGCATGGCGACTTCCACGTAGTGGTTGCCATCAAAGCGGACGCTCAGGCCAAAGTCGGTTTTCAAGATCACGTAGCTGCCGCTCAACTGCACCACAGTCTTGTTGCCTCCGATATACACCGGCAGGTTCCTCCGAGTGCCGTTGACCTGGGGAAGGTTTCCAAAAAGAGTTACATCCTGCCACCCTCAAGGAGGGAAGCCGAGGAAGCCTTCTGGCTGCTTTCCCCCACGTGGGAACAAGCACTCAGGAAGGCTCCAATGTTTCTGTGGCTAAGTGAGACAGTTATTAAGAGACTTTTGCCCATTTTACGACCTTTCCCTGCCACCGTTCTTAAGTGAATCACTGCAGGTGCTAAGTTAGGAGCACGGTTGTTAAGTGAATCTGGCTTCCCCACGGACTCTGCTAGTCAGGAGGTTGCAAAAGGGGATTACGTGACCCCAGGACACTGCAACCGTCATAAATGTGAGTCAGTTGCCAAGCATTTTAATTTTGATCAGATGACCATGGGGATGCCACAATGGTCGTAAGTGTGAAAATTGGTCCTAAGTCACTTTTTTCAGAGCCGTTGTAACTTTGAACATTCACTAAGTGAATGGCTGTAAGATAAGGACTGCCTGTAATACAAAATGAAAACACATAGCAGCTGATCTTAAAACAATTAACCATCTTCCCCCACTTTTAGCACTGATGATGTTCTCTAGTTGGGCCATGAAATGTTTGCTTGAAAACAACCAAGCGCAGAGAGCATCAAAGACCCCCACGGTCCTCCTTCTCCTCCTCCTCCTCCTCCTCCTCCTCCTCCTCCTCCTCCTCCTCCTTCTCCTTCTCCTTCTCCTTCTCCTCCTTCTCCTTCCTCCTCCTCTCTCTCTCCTCCCCCACAAATCCCATTCCCTTCTAGCACTGATGATGTTCCCTAGTTTGGTCATGAAACGTCTGCAAGAACCAAGTTCAGAAAACACCAAGGGCCCCTCATAAATATGAATGCATCATTTTGCCTGCCCTACACGAGCCCCTCTCGTTATTTTCTGGAGCGAATTTCTCCAGATCACACGGAATCAACAACGCCTGCAGTCAGCCTTAAGGATTGCTTGTGGGGTCCTGAGTTTGATCCCACAGATGAGCGGAGACTTCCTGGAAAGCTTGGGGTCACCCAGCAGCCCCCAGAAAGTGGATTCCCTTACATTAACTCTCCTGTTCTTCAGCAAGGACACCTGGCTTCCGTACACGGCCACATGCACTGAGTTGACGTAAGACACAGCCAGGTTGGAGCCCCGGTGCTCATTGGTGGTGGACACGTCAAAGACCGCCAGGCCACTGGTGGAATTGGTGCAGACTTTGGCCATGGTGTAGGTGCAGTTGCCCATGAAATGGTGGACACGGCCATCAAAGGTGGTGTAATGGGGGTCTCCTGAGGCAGTGCAGACAGACGGGGCTGCGAGGACGGGGGGACACACAAAACAAAGTATTATTTGGTGAAAGGTCCGTTCCCAAAGCGGCCTGGCCGGCAAGATGCCACAAGCTAAATGTCTATGGAGCTCATCCATCATCCAGGTCATGATTGTCCCAAAGGTGCTTTTCCCCCGCAAAAGGTAACTGGACTTTTCCTTGGTCTTTTTCCTTAAAAACGTTTCACTTCTCATCCAAGAAGCTTCTTCAGTTGCTGGGGGAATGGAAGGATTTATATTCTTTGCAGCTATTATAAAGTCAATATAAATCCTTCCATTCCTCTCCAGACAGTTAGAACTGAAGAAGCTTCTTGGATGAGAAGCGAAACATTTTCAAGAGAAAAACCAAGAAAGTCCAGTTGCCTTTTGTGAAAAAAAGCACCTTTGGCCAGGGATGAAATCTAGCAGGGTCTGACAGGTTCTGGAGAACCGGTAGCGGAAATTTTGAGTAGTTTGGAGAACCAGCAAACACCATCTCTGGCTAGCCCCAGAGTGGGGTGGGAATGGAGATTTTGTAGTATCCTTCCCCTGCCACGCCCACCAAGCCACACCCACAGAACCAGTAGTAAAAAAAATTGGATTTCACCACTGCCTTTGGCCCAACCTGGATTGGGAATTCATGTGCTCAGCCACTCAAGCCAGGTCATCTTACACCTGGACTACTGCAATGCGATGTATCCGGAAACTTCAGCCATTGCACAATGCAGTTGTGCAGGCAGTTCTTGGCTGCCCCTGAGATGGCGCACGTAACACTGCTGTTGTGCAAGCTGCACCGGTTGCTGCTTTGTTTCCGGATCCAATTCAAGGTGTTGGTCGCCACTTTTAAAGCCCTTCATGGCACAAGTGCAGGCTATCCAAGAAGCGAGTTAACCCCAATGGGATTACTCCACCCAACCCAGGCTGGCAGAAGAGTCATACTACGGACCCCATCAGCCATGGAATTTCGGCTGGCAGGGTCCAGAAGGAGAGCCTTTTTCTGCTGCAGCCCCTACTCTCTCAAACATCAGCCCCCCGCCCCAATATGAGATCTGCACCCACCCACTTGGCCTCCCGAAAGGCCTTGAAGACAGGGGTTGGGCCAACTATCTGGGGCCCCAATTTTTTTTTTTAAAATTTGATTTATATGCCGCCCTTCTCCGGAGACTCAGGGCGGCTTACAATGTGTTAAGCAATTGGGGTGTGGCACTTTGGAAGTGGACAATGGAGGAGATGACACCCCACCTCCTTCCTGTGTGTGCACTTCCCTCCCCATCCTGGTTAGTTTTACTTTAGCTGAACTTTAAATTTATGATCCTTGGTTGCTGTTCTAATGTTTTATAGTGAATTTTAATTGAATGTCTGTAAGCAGCCTAGAGTCCCCTCTGGGGGGAGGGGCAGCATACAAATTAAACAAACAAACAAACAAATAACAGGGGCATTGGGCATGGCTAATCTAGTGAACAGAAGGACCAGGGGTGACATCATAGCAGTGTTCCAATATTTGAGGGGCTGCCATAGAGAGGAGGGGGGGGGTCAGCCTATTCGCCAAAGCCCCTGAAGGCAGGAGAAGAAACAATCAAGGAGAGAAGCAGCCTAGAGGTAAGGAGAACTTTCCTCAAAGTGAGAACAATTAATCAGTGGAATGGTTCGTTTCCTGAAGGTGTGGGTGCTCCAACTCTGGGGATTTTTTAAGGATAGATTGGACAACCATTTGTCTGAAATGATACAGGGTCTCCTGCTTGAACAGGGGGTTGGACTAGATGACCTCCTAGGTCCCTCCCAACTTGGTTATTCTGTTATTCTAGGCATCTTTCAACAGACTCACATCAACATACTTGGAAGAGCAACGGTAGAATAAAATTGTACACGGTTGGAACTTGGTTTTCCCATGCCCAATGAATGCATTTGTGTTGTTTCTTAACCGTATTTTAAATTTTATGTTGTTGTTATCCACTCAGAGTCATAAATTTCAGATGGGCGGCCATCCACTTCCTGCCTCATCATTTCCTGCTGGAAACAGGCAGCTGGACTGAGGCCACAGCTTTCCTGAAAAATTGATGCCAATTTGACAGCAAATCTTACCTACACCCGGAGTCTTCACAGTAGTAGAGGTTGAATCTGGTGGACCAAGAAAAGAAGCCAAGTTATAATCAATTGTCATAATGTCACTCATCATCTTGGCAGAGGGAGGGAGCATGTTCACAGCAAGAGAGCGCACGGATTGAGGAACAACTTATACACCCCCTCCTGTTGTCGTTAATCCCCTTAGCCCAGGGAGAGTGTGATCATAGCAAAGGAGCAGCATGGAATGAAGAATACCTTATCACTCCTAACCTCTACCCATTAGCCTCACAACTGCAAAAAAGGTCCTCTCCTGAGGACATCGCCTTCCCCAAGAAACCACATGGCCTCCAAGGTTATTGGCAAGTGCCAACCCACAGAGAAGCCAAAGAGACAGAAGCCAGGCAGAAAAGAACACGTTACTTCTTGCCAGGTCTTCTGAAGAGGGCCTGCATTAGCTGAGACAGCTGGGTCTATTTATTATTATTTATTATTTATTATTTGAAGTTATATGCCGCCCCATCTCCGAAAAGACTCAGGACGGCTCACAACAATAAAACACACAAAGTTCAATTTTTTTAAAAAAAACCCAATAAAACTATAAAAACCATTAAAATCCGCTCTAAAAACCCTTCAGTCCAAGCCAGCCAGGCGAAATAGCCATGTTTTAAGGCCACGACAGAAAGAGCGAAGGTCAGGTGCCACCCGGAGCCCCAGGGGGAGCTGATTCAACAGGGTAAGTGGGCCCACAGAGAAGGCCCGCTCCCTAGGGATCGCCAGCCGACATTGTCTGGCCGACGGCAGTGTTGACCTCCAATCTCCACCTATTATGCCCATCACTGGGAAACTGGGTGCTTTCAGGGATGTCCTTCAAACGTTGTCATTAAAATAAGGTTGAGGGGCAGGATTACCTGGTGTACTGGGTTCCGCAGGTGTAGGTGTTGGTTCTGGTGGACAAAGAAAAGAAGGCAAGTTAGGATCACCCCTCCAATTGTCATTCATCCCTTAGAAGAAGGGGAATATGGAAGAACAAGGGCTGGGGAACATCCTGTTGACCTCCAATCTCCACCTATTATGCCCATCACTGGACCTGTAATACTGAACCGCAAGTATTTTACTGATTTTTTAAAAAAATTACTTAAGAGAGAGGAGGAAAAGAAAGAGGAAAAAAAGCCTTTTAAAATGGCGTCGGCTGGAGGAGAGGCTGAAAGGGAAAGTCCTTCCGTTTTCTATTACTACAATGTAGCGGAATAAATACCACTGGCTACATTTGCAGACAAAACTTCGCTCCTGTGTCTTTTTCTCTTTTTTTTCCCTTGGAGACTTGATATTGTTGTTGATTGGAAAGAAGTCTTTTTTTTTTTTCTTTCTTGCTTTTTTTTTTTAACAAAGCCTGCCTGGGCGGAAACATGGCACTGAGACTCATAAAGTCAGATAAACAAGAAGGGGGGGGGGATTCCCCCACCAACAACTTAAAGGAACAAGTCTTAACTCTTCAGTCTCAGAAACCTGATTTTAATATAATAGAATTTTTTATAGAGGAGATTGAAAGAAGGGAGGTGATTGTGAATCAGCAACTTGAAAAATTTAAGCAGGAAATTAAAGAATTGGTGAAATCTAAGTTTGATTTTTTGGAGAAAAAATTCTCAAAAGTGGCTAATGGTTTTACAGAATTTATGATACAGTTGGACACAAATACTAATGTACTAGAGTCTAAAATGGAAGAAATTCAAGATAAATTGGACAATAGAATTCAAAAAATTGAAAATGATTTGACAAACACTCAGGATAATAGCTTAGAAGAAAAACCTAAAATGGATGCTGATCAAAAGTATGGTAATGCAGAAAATCTGCAACAGAAGATTGAAAAAGAGATTTTAATGGTACAATATAATTTCACAGAATATGCGATAAGATTAAGAGGTTTGCAGGAAAATAATAGAGATGATTTAAGGAAAATATCTTCTGAATTTCTAGCTGGGATTCTAAAGGTTCAACCTGACGAAGTGTTTTGTAGGATTGACAGAGTTTATCGAATCAACTCCTGGATTGCCAAGCAAAGGCAATTGCCTAGAGATGTGGTGATTTATTTTACAGATAAAGAAATTAGGAATAATATCGTGCAAAATTCCTTCAATTCTAATTTGCAATTGTATGGAAGAAAGATTTGGATTTACAAGGAACTCCCACCTAAGATATTGATGGAAAGGAAGAAATTTGGTTTTCTGGTGAATGAGTTAAAAAAGAGAAATATCCCATTCAGGTGGGACGCCCCAGTTGGTATTATATTTAGATACCAAGGAGAAAGATATCAGCTAAATACTGTTGAAAGAGCGGAAGAATTTTATCAAAATAGGTTGAAAATGAACTTAACATCTTCAGGTATAATACAGGATAAGCAGAAGGAGCCGGAAATAAAGGTAAAATATCGAATTACAGAGACTGTACCAGATGAATTGCCTTTGGATTTATTGGATACCCCAGCTGGACTATCTACAAATTTGAGAGAAGTGGCATCTAACCTTAATGTGATGACTTATCAAGGCAAGGATAAGCATGGAAACCAATTAGGGGATATACAAGGGATAAAAAAGAAACATGAGATACAAAAACAAAACCAACAAGACCAATCTACAAAGCAGAATAAAAACCGACCAGATGATACACAATTTGTAGAAAGGAAACCAGGATGGAAACCAAACCCACAAAAAGAAAAGAAAAAAAGAAATAGGTGGCATAAAAATAGAAATTTCTAAATCAGGCAACAGTGAAGCCAGTGACTTTAAAATATGAATGATTATGTGTAAACACAGAAGAGGCGACGTATTGGTTAATATTATCCTGAGGATTGTGGCAGATCTCTGCATGGCCGTAATCTGGGGACGTGAAACGAGCCTTAAACTGATGGATTTGAATTATCCATTTTGGAATTTCTTTTTGTGTTGATAAACATATTATATTATCTTGAATCACAAGGCAAGAGAATTATGCTGGGGCATGCAGAAGATCGGGTTGTTACCCACTACGATGATGGGAATTAATAATCCTGATGAAACCCACAATTATTACTATATGGAATATAATTATAATGTCACTCGGGTGGTTGTTTTTACTTTTATACATATAAGAAGATATTTACTACTGATGGGGGCAGATATGATTGAAGATCCTGAATAAACTGTTGCACCAGCAAGCTATGTTACCCGATTATGGATGTTGGTTCTACCAATCCAGTGGAAAGACCTCAAAGAAGATACTATATGGATTATAAATTTAAAGTCATTGTCTTTTCTTTTTTTTTATTTAGATATAATGAAAAATATAGACATATATTTTTAAGTAGTGTGGGCAGTGAATCAAAGATATTAAGAAATGTTGTGTATGGTAATTTTGCATGATAGTGGGTGAATAAGCTAGTTAGTAGATTGATTAGTCTAAGAAAAGGGATTTTTAAGTGATATATTTAGGGGAGTGGAGGAAATGGATAGAGTGGAATAAATGTTAAACTAGATTTTATGGGGAAGGCCGCTTTGAAATGTTATAGTAATATATATAGAAGATTAAATGTTAAAGTAGGACTTATCGTACAGTTTTAAAGTGGAGAAGTTATTCTATAATGTCATAGTATAATGTCTTTTTTTTTTCCCTTTCTTTTCTCTTTTCTGAAATGTATGGATAAAGGGGGATGTTATAATATTAATAATATTTTTAGTAAGTAAAGGTCAATATCTAGAGGAGGGAGTAAGTAATCTGTTATGAATTAGGTTTTTTTTTTTTGTTATGAAGAAGTCACAGGGGGGATGGGTGGGGAGGGGGGGTTAGGGAGGGGGAGGGAGAGGGGGAAAAAAAGGGGGAAAATTTGTATTTGAAAACTTTTTCAATAAAAAAAGTTGGTAAAAGGCCCGTTTGAGGACAGAATCACTCTGCACCGATCTTCAAAACCTGCCTCTTCCACAGGGTCGCAGTGGGGTGGATCTATGGGTGGTCCTGGGGAACAGCTAGAGGCAGAAAAAAGGCCAACATTAAAACACCCTTTGTTTGGATGCCCAAAGAGAAATGTACATGAAACGTTTTGGCTCAGTTAGCCTGCTCGTTCTGGCACTAGGAGGGTGCAAGTGCTGAAGAGTTTAATGAGGAACAACTGTGTCCCCTTTAAACACTACATTTTTGGGGTTCCCTTCCTCTAATGGTTGAGTTTCTTATCGGTATACAAGGTACTGCACAGTGTGTTCAACTGGCTGACCAATTCTGATTTCGTAATCCATATCCTAGAACCCGATACGGAAAATGTTGCGGACCCCTGAAAACACCTTGTCGTTCACAGTCACTTGCCTCCACTCGTCATCTTCCACTCTCCAGCTGTTGCCAAATTTGTTGGCGTCGGTCACCAGCATCCCATCTGGCTGTTGGAAATCGTCCAGCTGGTTGCCCGAGTACGTGCCGCACAGCCCACAGAGGTGTCCCTCGTATCTCTCGTCCACTTGGATAAGCAGCTGCTGGTCCCCATCAAACTTCACCCGAAAGCCAAGGGGACTGTCAACAACCACATACGGAAGCTGTTCCTCCACCTGAATGTCTGACTGGAGCTTCAAAGGAAGATCAACTCTGGCCCCATTCAGCTGTAGAAAGGAAAAAGGTCAGCCTAGGAATTGTAATTCCATTGGATTTCTGGGCTTCATGGGCTACCACCTACAGTACCCCGTGTCTGGTTTCACTGAATTAGCACCTGCCCCACAAAGTTAGCAACTTGGCACCATAGGACTGCATCTATTCCTGGGCAACTTTTCTGGAGGACGGCTAAATGTGAAGGGGAATGCCAGAATTTCATCCAGGTAGTCAATTCCCTTGCACAATTCTTCAGGGTGCAATACTCACGTAGACCTCTTTGTTCTTCCTCAGAGCCAGGTGGATGTTTCTCAGCGAGATGGCCACTGAGTTGAGAGCCGTCCAGTGCGGGCTGGAGCGATGTTCGTTCCGAGTGGTCACGGAGAAGCGCTCGGAGGAGTTGCTGCAGATTTGCACTGCGGTGTAATTGCACCCACCCTGGAAATGATAGAGTCGCCCATCGAAGGTGACATAGTGAGGGTCTCCGTAGATGTGACAGGTGGCCTTGTCTGGAATGTAGCATCCCAGGATGCCATTCTGTACTTTACAGACTTGGTCTTTTTTGCAACTGTCTGAGTTGCAGGACAAGTTGCCATGTTCTGCACAGCGACATTGGCCGACGCAATCCGGCTGCCAGAACGTCTCTCCTTTCTGTTGGAGAAAAGCCAAAGTAAAAGATGTGGACCCTGCACTGTTGTGAAAGTTGCTGCAGGTTCTGTCACGGCCCCAGACGTTGCTTGGGAACAAACCTCATAATATTGATCTCCATGTACACAGCCACAATCCTCCTGCGGCACACATTGTGCTCCGCTCAGGACAAAGCCTTCGTCGCATTCGCAGTCCTCCACGCAAGGCTTGGTGCAGTTCCACGGAGCCAGTGGATTGAAACACGTGGCGGGACAGGACGTGGCGCACACATTGTAATGGCTGTGATGACCGCAAGGGATTTCTACAAAACAAAGCAGGAACCACTCAGAAAACGAGGTACACTTCCCAAGGTCACACTCAGTGCAAGCAGCTTTCTAGGTCAGCTTGTTGGGAACAGGAAGCTACCAGTGATGCTGGAAAGAATAGGGATGCTGCCTTGATTCTACGTGCTCGGGGAACCACATTTGCAAGTGGATCATGACAGCGGGAGCCATGGAATCTGGTAGATAGATGGCTTGCCGTCTGGGGCGATAACTAAAGTGATGGCCCATCTCCACCCCAATCACCACCTGAAGACAAGCGAGTCCTTCATCCAAAGGCAGATTTTAGGCGACACCTGCCCTTCTGCAGGACCCGGAATGCTGCTGCAACCAACCAAGAGAGCATATTTCCCCAACTAGGTCAATTGCTCATCTTTTAGGGTATTCTACGTGGATACTCACTGCAGGAAGTGGCATTCCTCCAGTCGGGAAGCTGCACGCCAGCTCTTTGGCAGGCATCAGCGTACGCCTCCAAAGCACCACACAAGGCCTGCTGGGACCCATGCAGCTCACACAGGTCAAAGACGCAACTCTGGAAGAAGCTGTTGGGGTTGATTGCAGAATGGCAAACTGCCAACGGTCTTTGGCTACTGGTTAGCTGTCCGCAATAGGCCTCTGTCTCATAGAGATTCTTCAGCTCTGAGGAACAAGGTCCTGGGGTTGGAGGTGGGCCTGTACAATCGGGGGCGTCGTACGTTGCATTGGGCACCTGCCAGCTGTTTCCCAGCTCATTGGAATTCTTGGCTTGCTCTCCGTTGGGCATCATGCTGTCATCCTGCCTGTGGCTGTTGAAGTTCCCACACATGCCGCAGGTCTTGTTGAAGAAGTCCGTGGGGACCCTGATCTCCACCGAGTGATCCGTGTCGTAAGAGACACAATCAGCCCGAATTCCGTTTCTAGGGTCACGTAGCGTCCGTCGATGTCCACTCTCAGGGCGTTGTTCAGCTTGCGCACAGAAAGCCTTGTAAGCACTTTGTTCACCTAGAAGGAGTCAGACACAAATTGTAACTTTATTTCCAAAGAAAGGAACCGTCTGAAGATGATCAGGATGGGAAGAGTTGGGTTCCCCATTACTAAGTCCCCGTACAGAAATACCGACTCTGAGTATATTTGCAGGAGCGGGAAAAGAAGTATCATTAAAAATTAATCAATCAATAAGAAATCGTACCCTGCCACCAATCAAAGGAGAGGCTGTTACTATTTTGTTCACTCTTATCCTTGATCAAACCGATATTCAACCAGAGGTTAGAAAATAGGATTTCCCCACACCTTCCAATCAAAAACCGTTCAGCAGAGAATCGGGAAGGAACATAGCTTCCTTCTATTTCAAAGCACAAGCAGGAAATGAGAAACTGCTTTGGGTTACCAGCACTTGATCCCTGTGTCCTTTGAGAATCTCAATCCGGTGCCCGTAAACCTCCACTAGGACCCGCTGGACGTAAGAGACGGAGGGATTCCCACGGTGTTCGTTCTTGGCCTCGATGTTAAAGTAGGGCAGCCCCGTCTCATTGGCGCAGACCTTGGCCAGGGTGTAGGTGCAGGTGCCCATGAAGTGGTGCGTCTCTTTGTCAAAGGTGTTGTAATGAGGGTCGTTGTGGACGCGGCAGACCCCGTACGTATGTCGGTAGCAGCTGGGGACACCATTTTGGACTCCGCAGTAATAATGCTTAGGGCAGGAATCATCAAAGCAGCTGAGCTTGCCACCTGGACTGGGGCAGGTGCATCTGGTGGTGCAGGTGTCGTCGGTCCAAAAGCTGGAGCCCACTGGGTAGTGCTTCCCCTGCTGCCAGCACCCACACTGATGGCTGGGCACACAGGTGCCATTGTAAAGGAAGAACCCGGAGTCGCAGACGCAGGCTTCCATGCACGGCAGGTTGCAGGTGTCCGGAGCATTTGGGTCCTTGCAGGTGGATGGACAGGCATTGGCGCAAGGCTCGTAGTGGCTGCTGAGTGGGCAATGAATGGCTGCAGGAGGGAAGAAGATCTCCCTGAGCTCAGTGCCGGAGGTTTGGTCCTAAAGTACACACTGCATCCCTTAATGGACTTGGATGCGAGTCCCTCACTGGGGCACGGTTTCTTCCTAGGTTGCATTCCCTGCTCCCCAGGATCCCAGCCAGAGATTTAGGCTATTTGCTTTCTAGGGTAAGCTGGAGTTGCAGACAGTGTGTCTCCAAGAGGGAACGTGGCAATACATGTCCCTCTCTCGACGGGAGTCTCTTCAAAGAGACAGAGGAAACACCCTCCCTCTTTCAGTTGATCCCCTGACCCCTCCGCTCACATAGATGTTTCGCGATACTCAAGGCTCACCACAGGTATTGCTGCCACAAAACTTACGGCAGAAGGTGGCATTCCGCCAGGGTTCGATGGCGATTCCCAGGGACTGGCAGGCATCTGCGTAGGACTGCAAGCTCTTGCAGAGGGAGCCTGGGTCTAAGTGCAGGGCGCACTGATCGTAAAGGCAGCTTTCAAAATGCCCCGTTGGATCCAAGACGCTCTGGCAATGCCTGAATGGTCCATTGATATCTGTCAGGCGTCCACAGAAATCGCTGCTTTTGGCCATGTCTTTCTCATCCTCCGTGCAGACTGGATCATGTCCAGAGGAACAACTGTAGCAAAAAAAATACTGTGGTTGAATACCCAACGATTTCCATCTGGACAAAAGCTGCTATTCAGGGATATAAGCTACGAACCTGGTGAGGTTGGCCACCTGCCAGCTGTTGCCCAAGCTTGTGGAGTCAGGCTCTGGTTTCCCATCGGGGTTGAGGAAATCGTCAGAAGGATCCCCGTTGTAGTTTCCACACATGCCGCAGACCTCACCCTTGTACGTGCTGCGGAGGGACACTTCCACCTGGTGGTCTCCGTCAAACTTGACTCTCAACCCAAAATCCGTAGAAACCACTGTGTAGAAGCCGCTGGGAAAGATCTCCACACCCCCTATTGGGGTGGAGGGGACGATGACTGGCTCCCCATCGACCTAGAAAGAGGTTCAGGCATCACTGTAGGGGACTCAGGAACAACGGTGCTCTTTCGTACCCCAACAACAAAGCACAGCTGTCCTTCAGCAGCAGCAGCTCCACCTACCGTCACTCTTCCTCCCTTTCCCAGGGTGACCCGGATGCCAAAGACGTCAATGTGCACACTCTCAACGTAGGAGACGTGTGTGTGGCCCCCTCGGTGCTCGTTGCTTGCTTCCACGTTGAAGTAGGGGAGCAGAGAGTTGTTTCGGTCACACAGTTGGGAGAGAGTATAGGTACAGTTGCCCATGAAGTGGTGCGTCTGCTTGTCAAAAGTGTAATAATGAGGGTCACCCGACACCAGGCAGGACTCTGGAAAGAAGAAAGGGAGGTCAGACACAGGCCGGCGTCAGCTCATTTGAAATGGGAGGCTATACTTTGGACAGGAATAGCAGATACACTTTGGGTGCCTCCTTCATTTTTAGCAACTTGGAATGGTCCAAGGATCTCAAGCTTTTCCTTGTACTTGACAACAGCTAATTTCCTGCACTTCTCCTCTTCCTAGCCACCAGGACTGCAGTCAAACCCAAAACCCATCGGAAGTGGGAAGTTTAAGCTTCAGCCTTAAAGATACTCACTTTGGGTGGGCATAAGTGGTGTCTGTGGGGTTGCAGATATAGGGATGATTGATATAGCATCTGAAGTGACATTTATATTTTGAGTACAAGGCAGGAAAGGACTTGAAATGGTTCAAGAAACTTAAACTCTGCCTTGTACTCGACAACAGTCCCTTCTCACCCCAGTAGCATTGTCGGGCTAAATAGAGTCTTCAGGGACATTGTTACCAGGTGTATAGCACCATTTAATGAACATCAAAGAAGGATGTCATAGTGAGACAAGCTCCATAAGTTCTGGGAAAAATTCTCAGCTCAGTAAAATCTTGCACTCCTTCTCTTCCGAGACATCAGGACTGAACACCAAGCCAAAGATCCATCAGAAGAGGGAAAGTGAACAAAAGATTTGCTTCAACCTTAAAGGCACTTACCTTGGGTGGGCGTAGGTGGTGTCAGTGTGGGTGTAGGTCCAGGAGTGGGTGGTGTCAATGCTGTAAAGGGAAATGACATTTGTGTGTTCCTCTAAGATTGAGAAATGTGAAGGGTCATTAAAACATCACCAAGTCTCCCTGACCAATCTTGAATCCCACTTGAGCTTGTGACCAGATACTCCTTAGCTGAGGAGGCAAAGAGAAGAAGGAAGCATCTCTATCACACGACCCACCCTCTGAAACCATCCTTATGCTAACCGAGGTTAGATTTAAACCTTTGGAATGTGTTCCTAGGGATTTGGGTCCCTCCTTATCCACACTGGGGAAACCTCAAATCGTGGAACATGCCCAGAAATGTTTCTATGATGTTATCCTCCTTCAGTGCCAGATCCCACCTCCGAGAAAGGAATAAACTGTGAAATCTTACACGGGCAATAACCCTCCTGTACAGAGATGTCATCCACGGCCAAATCGCTGCGGAAGTCCTCTCCCCGCATTCCTTCCAGCAGTATCTAGGAAGAGAAGAAGATCTCCTGTATGTTTCAAGTAGGGACAAATGCCATGATATCAGCCAGATGTTTGGGTGTAAAGTTGTCACCCTCGGCCTTACCTTCACCCTGCCATTGTGAACTACGCTGAATTCTGCTGTCTTCCAACGGTTGCCCTTGTTCCCCGTTTCTGACCAGACCAGGAAAGCTGGTGCATCATCCAAGATGACATAGAAGCGCAGCGCCATCGTGCGGGCTACGCCATACATATGATACCAAAAGCTGAAGCACATGGGCCCCTGAAGGTCACACGGGGGGCTGACCAAACGTGCCACATCCCCAGGGTTGGCATCGTTTCCCTCCAGGTAAATGAAGTAACCTCCTAAAGAAAGAGACAGAGGTCAAAGCAACGGGGTTCCTCAGAGATGTGAAGAGACAGTTTAGTGCAATCCAAGCTGCCTGGGGTTCCTCAGAGATAAGGACACAGAGTAGCTCTCCTGGTCTGATGCCTTGAACTTCCAAGGACACAACCTATCTCCCGTAAACCCTGGCAAGTGCTGCGACCTCTCTCCAGCAAGAGTCTTGTCCTTGGCCTGTGGGTCCTACATCTCTATCTCACAAGCAGGACTCCTTCATGGAAGGTGGCCCACATGGGAGTGCAGCAGCAGGGCAACAATCTGAGAGCTGAGAGGCGGCAACTGCTAAATATTCAGTCCTGCATATTTCAGTCCCTATATTGGAAGGCAGTAAGAAAACTGGTGGACGTGTCCAAGAAGAGGCTCAATAACTTTCATCTCCCAGGCCTTTAGCAACCACGCTCAGAACTCTCCATTGACGAGTGACAGAAAATGCCATTTTATTATTTTGGGATGTTTTAAGAGAAAGATTTATGTTTCTTGATTATGGTCCCATTTTGGGGGGTTTAACCCTTGTTTTCTTCTTATGCACCACAGACAGTCATATGGACTGAGTTGGGTGCTACCTAAGGGTTCAAATGAATAAAATAATTGCTCCTCTCTTGGAGATTCAATAGTTGGGATTCCTACACTGAGTACCCTGTTTCCCTGAAAATAAGACCTCCCCGGATAATAAGCCCAATCAGGCTTTTGAGTGCATGTCCTAAAATAAGCCCCCCCCCAAATAAGCCCTCCCCCAAAATAAGCCCTCCCCTAAAATATTTAAATGCACGCGCAACCGGTCCCCGCCATTTCCTCTGATTAGGGTTACGGAGACAGAGGTGGAGATCAAGTAAGATGGCAAGAGGAGCCCCGTCTTGCTCCACGCACCCCAAAATAATAAGACCTCCTCAAAAATAAGGCCAAGCGCTTATTTTGGGATTCAAAAAATATATAAAACAAGGTCTTATTTTCGGGGAAGCGCGGTAGGTATTGGATTCCATCAGGTAAACAGCTGTTTCCAGCTGTAAGATGCTACCAAAGAAGGAAAAGAATAAGGATTTATTCCTCTGGGAACCCAGGAAGGACCAGTGTGCCAGCCTCACCTCCGGTGGTGTGGTCATACAAGGGTCCTGTGTCTGGTGAGGGTGTTGGGCCTTTGTGTCGTCTCCAGTCAAAGCTGTCGGTGGACAATTGGTTCCAGGAACAGAAATCCTTCTCAAAAGTGCAGGAGAAACCGCAGGAGAGGAAGGAACCTAGGAACACAACAGAAAGGAGACCGTGCTGTGTTGTTGGAAGGAAGGTCTGGAAATCCTGAAAGGACTGGGAATGAATGCCAAAGGAGGGGCGGCACTGGAGGCAGCCGGTGATACAGAGAGTTCTACGGACTGAGGGTGACAGAAATTCCAGCTGGCAAAATGAGGTGGCTGCTTTGGGCAGCTCTGTGCAATGTTTAGCGCTCATTGGCCAGAACTCTCTGGATCTCCATAAGCAACGTTTCCACAAAGAGAAAATACTTCTGTGCGCGTGGGACAAGGTGATAAGGAATGGAGCTCCATGGACTCTCAAATCACGGCTGAGGACATCATTCCCCCTGCACTTCTCTCTCCCTAGTCAACATGAATCAGTGGCAAGGTCTCAGGAGGAACGTCATTGGGTGAAAAACGGGAGAAGACAATTGGAGAACGGATCTGCTCTAGCTTTGAGCAGACTCGCCTGGCCTTGGAGGGTTCAGGCTGACAGTGGAATTCCCAGGGAGGTTCGTTATCCATGTGAAAAGGAGAATGGTCACGTGAGATTTCCTATCGGTTGTATTTTGCACACAAGGAGAAACATGGATGGACGTATAGAAAATGGGAAGAGAAAGCCAAGCCGTTGTATTGTCTTTCTGCATGTCCACCAGCAGCATGGAATCCCTGATCTGTGATCAGCCAGCACAATTCATTGCACAGAGGTGGAAGGACAACTGCTGCTCCTTAGGAGGGGAAGAAACTCAGTCTGCCCAAATATGTGATCTCTCCTTTGTTACTGTTCCACAGGAGGTGCTGCAGGCTGGTGAGAAGGGGAACTAGGCACAGATGCTCTCACAGAGATCTGATCGCTTGTCCTGTTGGCACCTTCAGGCTAGCGGGAAGATACCCAAGTCGCACAACAGCTCTACTCACCACAAACTGTATCCTTTTCCCAATCTCCAAGGTCGGCCCCGTTCATTTCGCACGCAGCGGCATACGCTTCCAGACTTTTGCACAACTGCCCTTCGTCTCCCCCGTGGCACACTGGTCATACACGCAGCTTTCAAAGTACAGCTGAGGAGGGAGGCTGCCATGGCAGTCGGTAAAAGGCCCGTTTGAGGACAGAATCACTCTGCACCGATCTTCAAAACCTGCCTCTTCCACAGGGTCGCAGTGGGGTGGATCTATGGGTGGTCCTGGGGAACAGCTAGAGGCAGAAAAAAGGGCCAACGTTAAAACACCCTTTGTTTGGATGCCCAAAGAGAAATGTACATGAAACGTTTTGGCTCAGTTAGCCTGCTCGTTCTGGCACTAGGAGGGTGCAAGTGCTGAAGAGTTTAATGAGGAACAACTGTGTCCCCTTTAAACACTACATTTTTGGGGTTCCCTTCCTCTAATGGTTGAGTTTCTTATCGGTATACAAGGTACTGCACAGTGTGTTCAACTGGCTGACCAATTCTGATTTCGTAATCCATATCCTAGAACCCGATACGGAAAATGTTGCGGACCCCTGAAAACACCTTGTCGTTCACAGTCACTTGCCTCCACTCGTCATCTTCCACTCTCCAGCTGTTGCCAAATTTGTTGGCGTCGGTCACCAGCATCCCATCTGGCTGTTGGAAATCGTCCAGCTGGCTGCCCGAGTACGTGCCGCACAGCCCACAGAGGTGTCCCTCGTATCTCTCGTCCACTTGGATAAGCAGCTGCTGGTCCCATCAAACTTCACCCGAAAGCCAAGGGGACTGTCAACAACCACATACGGAAGCTGTTCCTCCACCTGAATGTCTGACTGGAGCTTCAAAGGAAGATCAACTCTGGCCCCATTCAGCTGTAGAAAGGAAAAAGGTCAGCCTAGGAATTGTAATTCCTTCGGGTTTCTGGGCTTCATGGGCTACCACCTACAGTACCCGTGTCTGGTTTCACTGAATTAGCACCTGCCCCACAAAGTTAGCAACTTGGCACCATAGGACTGCATCTATTCCTGGGCAACTTTTCTGGGAGGACGGCTAAATGTGAAGGGGAACGCCAGAATTTCATCCAGGTAGTCAATTCCCTTGCACAATTCTTCAGGGTGCAATACTCACGTAGACCTCTTTGTTCTTCCTCAGAGCCAGGTGGATGTTTCTTAGCGAGATGGCCACTGAGTTGAGAGCCGTCCAGTGCGGGCTGGAGCGATGTTCGTTCCGAGTGGTCACGGAGAAGCGCTCGGAGGAGTTGCTGCAGATTTGCACTGCGGTGTAATTGCACCCACCCTGGAAATGATAGAGTCGCCCATCGAAGGTGACATAGTGAGGGTCTCCGTAGATGTGACAGGTGGCCTTGTCTGGAATGTAGCATCCCAGGATGCCATTCTGTACTTTACAGACTTGGTCTTTTTTGCAACTGTCTGGGTCGCAGGACAAGTTGCCATGTTCTGCACAGCGACATTGGCCGACGCAATCCGGCTGCCAGAACGTCTCTCCTTTCTGTTGGAGAAAAGCCAAAGTAAAAGATGTGGACCCTGCACTGTTGTGAAAGTTGCTGCAGGTTCTGTCACGGCCCCAGACGTTGCTTGGGAACAAACCTCATAATATTGATCTCCATGTACACAGCCACAATCCTCCTGCGGCACACATTGTGCTCCGCTCAGGACAAAGCCTTCGTCGCATTCGCAGTCCTCCACGCAAGGCTTGGTGCAGTTCCACGGAGCCAGTGGATTGGAACACGTGGCGGGACAGGACGTGGCGCACACGTTGTAATGGCTATGATGACCGCAAGGGATTTCTACAAAACAAAGCAGGAACCACTCAGAAAACGAGGTACACTTCCAAGGTCACACTCAGTGCAAGCAGCTTTCTAGGTCAGCTTGTTGGGAACAGGAAGCTACCAGTGATGCTGGAAAGAATAGGGATGCTGCCTTGATTCTACGTGCTCGGGGAACCACATTTGCAAGTGGATCATGACAGCGGGAGCCATGGAATCTGGTAGATAGATGGCTTGCCGTCTGGGGCGATAACTAAAGTGATGGCCCATCTCCACCCCAATCACCACCTGAAGACAAGCGAGTCCTTCATCCAAAGGCAGATTTTAGGCGATACCTGCCCTTCTGCAGGACCCGGAATGCTGCTGCAACCAACCAAGAGAGCATATTTCCCCAACTAGGTCAATTGCTCATCTTTTAGGGTATTCTACGTGGATACTCACTGCAGGAAGTGGCATTCCTCCAGTCGGGAAGCTGCACGCCAGCTCTTTGGCAGGCATCAGCGTACGCCTCCAAAGCACCACACAAGGCCTGCTGGGACCCATGCAGCTCACACAGGTCAAAGACGCAACTCTGGAAGAAGCTGTTGGGGTTGATTGCAGAATGGCAAACTGCCAACGGTCTTTGGCTACTGGTTAGCTGTCCGCAATAGGCCTCTGTCTCATAGAGATTCTTCAGCTCTGAGGGACAAAGTTCTGGGGGTGGAGGTGGGCCTGTACAATCAGGGGCGTCGTACGTTGCATTGGGCACCTGCCAGCTGTTTCCCAGCTCATTGGAATTCTTGGCTTGCTCTCCGTTGGGCATCATGCTGTCATCCTGCCTGTGGCTGTTGAAGTTCCCACACATGCCGCAGGTCTTGTTGAAGAAGTCCGTGGGGACCCTGATCTCCACCGAGTGATCCGTGTCGTAAGAGACAATCAGCCCGAATTCCGTTTCTAGGGTCACGTAGCGTCCGTCGATGTCCACTCTCAGGGCGTTGTTCAGCTTGCGCACAGAAAGCCTTGTAAGCACTTTGTTCACCTAGAAGGAGTCAGACACAAATTGTAACTTTATTTCCAAAGAAAGGAACCGTCTGAAGATGATCAGGATGGGAAGAGTTGGGTTCCCGATTACTAAGTCCCCGTACAGAAATACCGACTCTGAGTATATTTGCAGGAGCGGGAAAAGAAGTATCATTAAAAATTAATCAATCAATAAGAAATCCTACCCTGCCACCAATCAAAGGAGAGGCTGTTACTATTTTGTTCACTCTTATCCTTGATCAAACCGATATTCAACCAGAGGTTAGAAAATAGGATTTCCCCACACCTTCCAATCAAAAACCGTTCAGCAGAGAATTGGGAAGGAACATAGCTTCCTTCTATTTCAAAGCACAAGCAGGAAATGAGAAACTGCTTTGGGTTACCAGCACTTGATCCCTGTGTCCTTTGAGAATCTCAATCCGGTGCCCGTAAACCTCCACCAGGACCCGCTGGACGTAAGAGACGGAGGGATTCCCACGGTGTTCGTTCTTGGCCTCGATGTTAAAGTAGGGCAGCCCCGTCTCATTGGCGCAGACCTTGGCCAGGGTGTAGGTGCAGGTACCCATGAAGTGGTGTGTCTGTTTGTCAAAGGTGTTGTAATGAGGGTCGTTGTGGACGCGGCAGACCCCGTACGTATGTCGGTAGCAGCTGGGGACACCATTTTGGACTCCGCAGTAATAATGCTTAGGGCAGGAATCATCAAAGCAGCTGAGCTTGCCACCTGGACTGGGGCAGGTGCATCTGGTGGTGCAGGTGTCGTCGGTCCAAAAGCTGGAGCCCACTGGGTAGTGCTTCCCCTGCTGCCAGCACCCACACTGATGGCTGGGCACACAGGTGCCATTGTAAAGGAAGAACCCGGAGTCGCAGACGCAGGCTTCCATGCACGGCAGGTTGCAGGTGTCCGGAGCATTTGGGTCCTTGCAGGTGGATGGACAGGCATTGGCGCAAGGCTCGTAGTGGCTGCTGAGTGGGCAATGAATGGCTGCAGGAGGGAAGAAGATCTCCCTGAGCTCAGTGCCGGAGGTTTGGTCCTAAAGTACACACTGCATCCCTTAATGGACTTGGATGCGAGTCCCTCACTGGGGGACGGTTTCTTCCTAGGTTGCATTCCCTGCTCCCCAGGATCCCAGCCAGAGATTTAGGCTATTTGCTTTCTAGGGTAAGCTGGAGTTACATTCCGTGTGTCTCCAAGAGAGAACGTGGCGATATATGTGCCTCTCTCAATGGGAGTGATCTTCTTCAAAGAGACAGAGAAAACACCCTCCCTCTTTCAGTTGATCCCTAGACTCCCCCTTTACACATAAGGTTCCTCATACACAATCCCTGCGCAGGTCGATCTGCGTGTGCATGCGCAGGCTCATTGGCCCACTGCTCCCAGAAGTCAAGCTATGTGCACATTTGGGCACATCTGCCTAGTCCAGTTCCCCTCTCCCGGGCCCTGCTGGGCCATCAAGCCACAGAGGTTGAGGGCCACTGATTTATGATATTTGTCCTCCAGGATAAGCTGGAGTTGCAGACAGTGTGTCTCCAAGAGGGAACGTGGCAATACATGTCCCTCTCTCGACGGGAGTCTCTTCAAAGAGACAGAGGAAACACCCTCCCTCTTTCAGTTGATCCCCTGACCCCTCCGCTCACATAGATGTTTCGCGATACTCAAGGCCCACCACAGGTATTGCTGCCACAAAACTTACGGCAGAAGGTGGCATTCCGCCAGGGTTCGATGGCGATTCCCAGGGACTGGCAGGCATCTGCGTAGGACTGCAAGCTCCTGCAGAGGGAGCCTGGGTCTAAGTGCAGGGCGCACTGATCGTAAAGGCAGCTTTCAAAATGCCCTGTTGGATCCAAGACGCTCTGGCAATGCCTGAATGGTCCATTGATATCTGTCAGGCGTCCACAGAAATCGCTGCTTTTGGCCATGTCTTTCTCATCCTCCGTGCAGACTGGATCATGTCCAGAGGAACAACTGTAGCAAAAAAAATACTGTGGTTGAATACCCTACGATTTCCATCTAGACAAAAGCTGCTATTCAGGGATATAAGCTACGAACCTGGTGAGGTTGGCCACCTGCCAGCTGTTGCCCAAGCTTGTGGAGTCAGGCTCTGGTTTCCCATCGGGGTTGAGGAAATCATCAGAAGGATCCCCGTTGTAGTTTCCACACATGCCGCAGACCTCACCCTTGTACGTGCTGGGAGGGACACTTCCACCTGGTGGTCTCCGTCAAACTTGACTCTCAACCCAAAATCCGTAGAAACCACTGTGTAGAAGCCGCTGGGAAAGATCTCCACACCCCCTATTGGGGTGGAGGGGACGATGACTGGCTCCCCATCGACCTAGAAAGAGGTTCAGGCATCACTGTAGGGGACTCAGGAACAACGGTGCTCTTTCGTACCCCAACAACAAAGCACAGCTGTCCTTCAGCAGCAGCAGCTCCACCTACCGTCACTCTTCCTCCCTTTCCCAGGGTGACCCGGATGCCAAAGACGTCAATGTGCACACTCTCAACGTAGGAGACGTGTGTGTGGCCCCCTCGGTGCTCATTGCTTGCTTCCACGTTGAAGTAGGGGAGCAGAGAGTTGTTTCGGTCACACAGTTGGGAGAGAGTATAGGTACAGTTGCCCATGAAGTGGTGCGTCTGCTTGTCAAAAGTGTAATAATGAGGTCACCCGACACCAGGCAGGACTCTGGAAAGAAGAAAGGGAGGTCAAACACAGGCCGGCGTCAGCTCATTTATTTTGCTGGTGGCACTAGAGTTCAAGTGGCGTCTAATGAGCATAATCATAACTTATTGGGCTGATGAAGAGATTCTCCGCCCTGCTTTACAAGGTGAACAAGAGTCTCCTGGGAATATATTCTTCCTCACGGAACGACATGTCGTCCAAGTGCCATCCAAGGGGCAGCCGCAGAGGTAGAAACAAGGCAGGAAAGAACATATGGTCTTCTCCTGAGGTTCACATTACCTGAGAAACATGGCTCTACAGGTGAAGGTGTTGGTTCTGTTGAAGAAAGAAAAGAAGGCATGTTAGGATCAACCTTCCAATTGTCATTCACGTGTGTTCTTAACAAGGCAGCAACATGGATTTTGGAAACACCCTATTTTTGACCACGGATTTTGCCCATCACTGGGAAAGTGGGTGGTTTCAGGAATGTCCTTCAAGCATTGCAATTATAATCAGTTTGAGGGGCAGGATTACCTGGTGTACTGGGCTCTGCGGGTGTCGGTGTCGGTTCTGGTGAACAAAAGAAAAAGTTCAAGTTATGAGCAACACTCCTGTTAATGTTCTCCACTTTAGTCGAGGAAGGGTGCATAGGATGAGGAAAGCTTGCACGCTCCATAACCTGGATGACGGAGAATCTCCATAGATTTTTAGCCAAGGACTTTGGGATGAAGACCCTTCGAATGATGTGGGAGGAGGAATAGGTTTCCAGAGGAAAAAAAATTGCAGACTACAGGAACCATTTGCACCACTCAGGTGACCCTGAGGACACAGAGAAACCTCCAAGTGGCCTCAATGTCTCTCTAAAAGGATGCAAAGGACCAGCTGTCTGCAAGGAGTATCAATCCTTCCATTCCCCACCATCCAGTCAGAGCTGAAGAAGCTTCTTGGAGGAGAAGCGAAACCTCTTCAAAAGAAAAACCAGAGAGTCCAGTTGCCTCTTGAAAAAAAAGCAACTTTGGGACAACCAGGACCTGGGTGACTGAGAAGCAGTGCTAGAAAAGAGAAGGGTTTGCAAAATGGAGGAGAAGAAGGTGAGGAGGAGGAGGAAAGAAAAAGGACTGTGGGGGCCCTTGGTATTCTCTGAACTGGGTAGTCTTCTTACAGACATTTCATGGCCCAACTAGAGAACATCATCAGTGTTAGAAGGAAGCAGGTTTGGGGAGAGGAGGAGAAGGGACACAACAACAACTGTGGGGTCCTTGGTGCTCTCTGAGCTTGGCTGTTTTCTTGTAGACCTTTCATGACCCAAATTAGGTAACATCATCAGGTCTGAGCTACATATGAATATTCTCTTTTATTAGTGAGAACTGTGTCCCATTTTTTCAAAATGGCCTGATGACTCAGGAAATTGGTGTCACCTGCTGAACTTTGATTAAGCTCAGAATATTGCCTGTGCAGGAGAAGGAAATGGTGAGCAACTTGCTGACAGGACAGGGAATTAAGACCTTTTGTTTGATCTGCTCCGTGAAATTACCCAGGTTTATCTTGAAGATATTATAGGGGTTAAAATTTAACTCCCTAATCAGACACTTCAGCAGTTCTCTCAGGTAGAAAAATCCAGCCACTGTCACTGATTACAGCCGTTTACAACTTAAGCAAGACGTTATTAAAATTATGCTGATTAGTGGCAGGGCGAGATCTGGTGACAGGATCTGTCAATCTGTCAGTCGCCCTCGTCATCTGAAGTGAGGACAGCTCGCACAGGGACCTCCCTGGAAGAAGAGGCAGCTGGTTGTCTGTGTATTTCAGGGGCCGTAGAGGGTCATGAGGGGTGCACCCCTCAATGGGCGGGTCTGCCAAGGAAGGCTGGCTGAAGCCAAGGAGTTCTGGTTCCCATCAGCCACGGGGGGACTCTCATCCCTCTTGAAAAGCCCCACAATGGCTGATACCAGAAGGGCAAAGGCCCCCTGTCTTCTCAGGTCACTTCTTGTCTGCAGGAGATTCAGGGGAGGTCCTGCTCCCTGCAGATAGTCCTTGACTTACAACTGCTTGAAGTTACAACAGAAAGTCACCCCTGTTGAGATTTGTTTGGTCTCCATTGTGCTTTTCCAAAAGGCAACGGCACTTCCTTTATTTTTTAAGAACCCAGGTGGCGCAGTGGTTAGAATGCAGCATTGCAGGCTGACTCTGCTCACAGTCGGAAATTCGATCCTGATGGGGCTCAAGGTTGACTCTGCCTTCCATTTATCCGAGATCGGTAAAATGAGGCCCCAGAGTGTTACGGTCAATATGCTGACTCTGTAAAACCGCTTAGAGACGGCTGTGAAGCGGTATATAAGTCTAAGGGCTATTGCTATTCCTTCCTTCCTTCCTTCCTTCCTTCCTTCCTTCCTTCCTTCCTTCCCTTCCTTCCTTCTTCCTTCCTTCCTTCCTTCCTTCCTTCCTTCCTTCCTTCCTTCCTTCAAAAGCAGTGCTGCAGGCTAACTCTGCCCATTGCCCATTGCCAGAAGTTCGATTGTCCCCGGCTCAGCCATCCGTCCTTCCGAGGTGGGTAAAATGAGGACCCAGATTCTTGGGGGCAAGAGGCTGACTCTGTAAAACTGCTTAGAGAGGGCTGTGAAGCACTGTGAAGCGGTATATAAGTTTAAGTGCTACTGCTATTTTTTAAAAAATGTTTTTTTAAAAATGTTTTGCTTTTTTTGAAACATTTAAAAAAAACCCCCAAGAATGTCCAGTTACCTTTTGGAAAAAGCACCTTTGGGCCAGTGGTGAAATCTAAAATTTGTTACTACCGGTTCTGTGGGCGTGGCTTGGTGGTGGTGGGGGTGGTAATGTGACTGGGTAGGTGTGGTCATTTTTTTTTTTTACTTTTAAAACCATTTTTTCTACACGAAGAGGTTGTAAAAAAATGCTTTCAAAAGGCTCTGACGATCCCAGCTGAGTTGCCTGATCAGCAGAGGGTTTTTAAAAAAGCCTCTGCCGATCAGGCAACTCAGCTTGGATCGTCAGAGGCATTTAAAAGAAAAAAAGCCTCTGATGATTGCGCGGGTCAGCTGGGCATGGGGGAGGGGGCAGGGATTTTTGCTACCGGTTCTCCGAACCACCTGCCTCCATCGCTACCGGATCGGTAGCATTTAACCCCTGCTTTGGGCCATCTCTTCTGCCCCTTGTCTTCAAAACCGTTTCTGGCCCTCAGCCTGGAGGCCGAAAAAGCTTCTGGGCTGTAGGTGGCACTGTAATGCTGGCTAAGTAAATGTCCTCCTTGCTTTGCTGCCTTTTGCCTGGTCATCTGGCCAGTATCTTTTAGGTGAGATTCCAAGTTTGGCCTTTGCTGATGGGAAGAAGAGTCCTGTGACTCTTCTTCCCATCAGCAGATAATGATATTATCTGACAGAGTTGCAACTAGTTCAGAACAACATTAGAACTAGTTCAGAACAACATTAGAACTGAAGAAGCTTCTTGGATGAGAAACAAAAAGTTTTCCAAGAAAAAAACCCAAGAAAGTCAGTTATCTTTTGGAAAAGCACCTTTGGGACAACCATGATCTGGATGACTGAGAAGCTCCATAGATACTTCAGAATAAGTTCTTCCTGGATTCTGCAGGAGCCCTGAGTATTTTGGAGTCTGGAAGGCCCCTCACATCTCCCCCAGGGCTGAGGGGTATTTTTGGTGGCTCCCTTCCTGCATTCATCCATCCTTCGGGGAACAACTACAGCTTGAAGACTCAGGACCTCTTCTGAAAGGACCTCTGATGTTGCAATCCAAGATCAACTTCATGGGAACCTCTTGGATGGAAAAGCTGAAATGAAGAAGGAGTCACTTACCGCAAGGCCCTCTCCTGACCACCACATTGTCCACGGCTGTGTCCCCATATTCTGTCAACCCTCGAATGGCATCAAAAGCCACCTGTGAGGAGTGAAAGAAAGTCCAGTCAGAGCAAGGAGGCTGCTGCGTCTGCAAGGAGCAACAGGAGAGGTCCTGCTGGAGGAGCCAGATGGAAGGAGACCCTCTGAAGCCACGGCTGTCTTCCAGATGAGCTCAACGGCACTTCCCATCCTCCCCAGCGCCAGGTAGGGAAAAACTGCCACGTGTTAGAACCTCAGACCAACTGAAGGTTTTTCTTTAAGCTCATACCCAGAGAGTGGTGTTCCCTCCCTCCCTCATTCAATTTCTACAGCCATCCATCTCAGTCAATGACTCTGCGTGGCTTACAATGAATGAATATGAATGTTACTATTATGTGTCTTTTCCAGATCATTAATCTTGGTTGGTATATAAAATACGCTTTGTTTCTTTTGTAGTTTCTCTTGTTCTGCAGAGAAAGTGAAGAATTCCACCCTTGCCACCCATTTTAAAATACCACAACCTGGGTGTCACTCAATAATGCTGAAAAGATTTCTGAGGGATTTTCAGACAGCCTCTTATGTTGGTCCTCAACCTGGGTGGCTTTAGAATGAGGCTAATCTGGTTCTAGGTGAAGGTTGTCAGAATAGTAGAATAACAACATTGGACGGGACCTTGGAGATCTTCTAGTCTATCCCTCTGGCCAAGGCAGAGAGTACCTAGGGCCCTAGACCCTTTCAAACAAACGGTTGTCCAATCTCTTCTTAAAAACTTCCAGTGATGGAGCACCCACAACTTCTGGAGGAAAGTAGTTCCACTGGTTGATTGTCCTCCCTGTCAGGAAATTCCTCCTTAATTCCAGGTTGTTTCTCTCCTTGATTCGTTTCCATCTGTTGCTTCTTGTCCTGCCTTCAGGTCAGGGGTGGATTCTAATTTTTTTTACTACTGGTTCTGTGGGCGTGCCTTATTTTATGGACGTGGCTTGGGGGATAATGTGGATGTGGCCAACTTTTTTTTTTTAACTTTTAAAAACATTATTTCCACAACCTTAAGAGGTTGCAGAAAAAAATGCTTTTAGAAGCCTCTGACGATCAGGCAAGTCATCTGGGATTGCCAGAGGCTTTTAAAGGAAAACATGCTTTTAGAAGCTGAGCTGCGCGATCATCAGAGGCTTTTTAAAAAACTTTTAAAAGCATTTTTTCAGTCAAAGAGGTTGTAGAAAAAATGCTTTTAAAAGTTTTTTTTAAAAAGCCTCTGATGAGGTGGGCAGGGTAAGCAAGCGGCGCCTGGGCTGGGGACCGGTTCGGGAGCATAGCCAGCCAATGTTATTACCGGTTCTCCGAACTACTAAAGTTTTTTACTACTGGTTCTTGCGAACCAGTGCGAACCGGGAGCAACCCACCACTGCTTCAGGTGCTTTGGAGAATAGGTGGACTCCCTCTTCTTTCTGGCAGCCCCTCAAATATTGGAAGACTCCTATCATGTCACCCTTAATTCTTCTCTTCACTAAACTAGACATGCCCAATTCCTGGAACGTCCTTCCTATGTTTTAGCCTCCAGCCCCCTAATCCTCTTTGTTGCTCTTCTCTGCACTCTTTCTAGGGTCTCAGCATCTGTTTTATATCATGGCAACCAAAACTGGATGCCGTATTTCAAGCGTGGCCTTACCAGGGCATTATAAAGTGGTATTAACACTTCATGCGATCTTGATTCTATCCCTCTGTTGATGCAGCCTAGATTGCATTGGCTTTTTTGGCAGCTGCCACACACTGCTTGTCAGTAGCCCCGGCCTAGCCTTAAGAATTGCATCAGCTGCCAGAGGTGCCAGGCTTGAACTGCCAGCTGCTAGAAATGGGGGAGGGGGCACTGCTCTTGATTGCCGAGAGGGGCTTCCTCTCACTTCGGGAGCAGGGCGGAAGATGCAGTGACCCTTTGGCCCAACCTATTCTACAAGAGCTGCCACGCTGTTACCTGGAAGCGAGCCTCCTTCTCAAAGTAGACCGAGGTGAGTCCATGCTGCCACTCAGGGCTCTGGCTCCCCATTTGGCTCCACACCACAGTCTCGCCCTGGTCCCTCAAGAGGGTCACATGCAGTTCATTGAAGTCCTCGGAGCCAAACATGTGATACTGGAAGTCGATGCAGACTTCGCCAGAGCCCAGCAGCTGGGGACTCTCCAGTCTGTTGAGGTCGTAGGGAATCAGGTTGCTGGCCTCTTGGTAGATGAAGTAGCCTCCTGCAAGAAGAAGGGGAGATGCCCCCAAACTCTTTATTGGAACCAGGGAGCAAGGGAGCACGAGGGCCTGGCTGGACGTGCCAAGTCAGGCGTGCTAAGGGGTGATCAAAGAGACCCGGCCAGCTTCATGCAGTGTGTGCTTAGTGCAAACCACATCAATCATCTCAGAACTTTCATAGGAGACGCAAACAAAGCCTAATTGTTAGGAAGTGACAACATCCCAAAGGTGTTTTTTTCCAAAGGGCAACTGGGGTTTCTTGGGTTTTCCCTTGAAAACATTTTGCTCCTCATCCAAGAAGTTTCTTCAGTTCTAACTGACTGGTGGGGAATGGAAGGATTTATATTCTTCGCAGTGGTCTGGTCATTAACACTGGTGGGCTGATGGTTAGCTATCTGAGAGTTGTTGGGGGTTACCTGGGCCCTCAGGGTCACCTGAATCAGAGCATAAACAGGTGTGGCACCTTCTTGGGACTGCTGAAAGGAGCGTAAACAGGAGATAGGTGGTATCAATGACTCTCGGAGAGCTAACAACCGACCTTCAAAGTACTAAGGAGAAGATGTCTGCAGACTATAAAATCCTTCCTTTCCCCATCATTCAGTCAGAACTGAAGAAGCTTCTTGGATGAGAAGCAAAACATTTTCAAAGAAAAAAACCCAAGAAAATCCAGTTTCCTTTTGGAAAAGCCCCTTTGGGATGTTGCTGTTCTTTCTGGAAACAGAGGCTGGGGGGTGGGGGTGGGCTTCCTAAACCATCATAACAAGGGAGGCCGGGAGCTTTTGCAGACTCCAGATCCATCTGTGTTGCAAGCTTAAAGAGTCATTTCCTCAAGGAATTCTGGTCCTTGAAATTTGGGGAGGGGAGGCCAAGACCCATTTGCACCACCACCGAATTTCAGGCCCCTACGGAGAAAAGCAGCCATAGGGAAGATTCACACAACACACAGTATATTCACTTAGTGTGTTTTAGCCTGGAGTGTTGTGTCCATGTTGATCATTTAAGAGCCAAGGTGTGGTGCAGTCTCCCAAAATTGGGTTGATGGAGTAAATCCTGCTAAGGTTAAGTGTGAGCGTTTGTCAAAAACAATGCCCTGAGTGTGTTGGGCCAAAGACGTGCTTTCCTTAATGCAGCAATAATCTGTGCAGTTGGAAAAGAAACCCAGGAGGACGATTTGGGATCAAAATCGATATTCAGCAGCTGGGCACAATGGCTGCTACCCACAAGCGGAGGGAACAGGGCAGCGATGGCCCCCGGGAAGGGCTCCGGGCTCCATGGCCACCTGGCAGACAAGAGGCAAAGAGGGCTGGTGCAGAGTTTGCGGGACAATCGCCTTTCTCTCTTTGGGTCAGATTCTGTTGGCTCCAAGAGACAGGAGCTATGCTGGGAGAAGAGGCACCTTTGTCAATCAAAGGCCTTGCAGTTGTGACTTTGATTCCAGACAGAGGAGCATCTCTTTTCAAGGATGCGGAGATCTCTGGCCCTCCATCTGCTTTTGGATTCCATGTCCCATCATCCCTGGCCAAGTGGGTGGGGTCTAAGAGCAGTTGGAATCCAGCCCTTGGATCACCCTTCTTTTCCACCCTTCCAGCCTTGGTGGAGAGAGGGGGACAAAGCTTGTATGCTGACTTGGAGGAGGTGAGGACCACGCATGGTTGGTGAGGACCACATCCTGCTGCCCATGTCAAGCGGGTAGCCACAAACCCTTCCAGCCTGCTCCAGTCTTCCGATGGCCATGGGAACCCACTCAAGCCCAAAGAGATCCGGATGTCCCCAGCTGCACCGAGGGAGGGAGGGAGGGAGGGTGCATGACCCTCTGACCTGTGAGGAAGGGGACCAAGGACATGGAGAATGGGGAGGGGGCTTTGCCCATTGTGGTTATGGAGCACTTACTTCCATCCGGATAATCCCCGCTTGGGCCGGTGCCAGGGGTGGGCGTATCATGCTTGGTGCGTATCCAGGTGCCTTGGTTGGTGCCACAGGTTTGGGTCCAGTCGCAAAAGGGCCAGGAGTTGTTGTTGAAGTCACAGCCGGCCAGGTAGTCTGAATTGGGGAGGGGGGAACACAGTGAAGAACAGGCAGACATACTTCCCCGCAGCCTCTCTCAACCTGGTAGCCTTGAAAAAGAACCCCCATTGTCCACAGCCAGTTGGCTGGCACGAAAATCTGAGACGGGGTTTCAAAGATATTTGAGAGATGCAGAACTGGGGAAGGGGTGGGGGGAAGGGAAGCTGCTTTAAGGTATCTGGCAGGAGTGAGGTGGGGGCTATACCTGCATTGTGAGTCCAGCTCTCCAAACCGGCCGCCCAGCTGCCTTCTTCTCTCCTGCCAATCAAAGAGGGGACAATTGAGGCGTGGTCCCTGGGCCCACCTCCTTCCCACCAGAGGGACCAACTGACCCATGGTGGGCAGACAGGGGGTCCAAGGGAAAATACACAGGGAGCAAAGTGTCCACCATCAATATGGTGTGAGAAATGACCACGGTGGAGAGTGAAGAAAGGGGTTCATACTCGTGCCAAGAGGAAGAAATACACCTTCCCTGGGACCCAAAGGACAGCAACATCACTGCTGGCTGAACTCGTCCGGGGGGGGGGGGGGAGGGACAGAAGGGGCTTTGTGTAAATGGCATCACCAAAGTAAGCACCACATCCCTAGCCAACCGGCCTTGGACTGCAGCATCCTGCTTTGCAAGGAGGGGCTATAGGATAAGGGAGGGGAGGGGAGGGGAGAGGAGATGATGGGACAAGGGAGGAGGGGATTGGATGGGCTAGAAAAAGATAAGAGGAGGTGAGAGGAGAGGAGAGAATAGAAAATTAAGAATAAGACTAAAAAACTAAGACTAAGACTAGAATAGGGAATAGATTTATTTGGCCAAGCGTGGTTAGACACAAAAGGAATTTGTCTCTGGTGTAGAAGCGCTCAGTGTACATGCAAAACAACATAACATGATACTAATTCTAAAAGTGTGCAACTTGTAGAAGGGGGATATAAGAGGCAATAAAAGGATCAATGCCACCCTCTTATGCCTTCATAGAAAGACACCGTAGGCTGAACGTAGAAGTCCCGGGGTTTGGTCAACTGCGAGAATGAGAACGAGGCATGAAGGCAGCTGGAAACGGAAAGGATGTCAAGCAACCCACCCCCGGGGGGGGGGGGGGGGTCAGGGTCCTGCCAAGGAGGGGGTCTGGCTGAGGGATGCATGGGGGTATTGAGGCTTGGGGTGGTGTCCACTTTTCTGCCAGCAGCAGATCTATTGGAGGAGGAGGATTATTGTGGGGTCCTTGGGGCTCTCTGAGTTTGGCTGTTTTCTTGCAGACATTGCATGACCCAACTAGGCAACATCATCAGTGCTAGAAGAAAGTGGAGCTTGTGGGGTGAGGAGGAGGAGAGCCATATCCCCTCCGATGGCCCCAAATCAGGCAGGGGTTGGGAGCAGGTCTTCCTTCTCTGACCTTTTCTTCAGAGGCTTTTGAGAGCCGCTGTTGGCCTCCTCCGATGCAGCATAGAGATGCTACACATGCATTTATTTACATCTATTAATAGCAATAGCTATAGCAATGGCATGTAGACTTACATACCACCCCACAGCACTTTACAGCCCTTTCTGGGCAGCACACAATGTCAGCATTATTTGCATATTGCGCCCAACTATCTGGGTCCTCCTTTTAGTGACCTCAGAAGGATGGAAGGCTGAGTCAACCTTGAGCCGGTCAGGATCAAACTCCTGGCTGTGGGCAGAGTTTGGCTGAAATGCTAGAAGACCTCCAAGGTCCCTTCCAACTCTCATCTCTGTATTACTGTTCAAAACGTTCCTGTGAGGTTGGCCAAACGCACCCTGAGAGTTTCTGGAACCTGGCGCTGGTCTCTCTGTCCTATCTCCACTGTAACCAGGGACCTGCCCTGGAAGAGGCTCTTACAGGCCTGGGGAGACGAAGCAGAAGGTGTCATATCCCATATGGCCTTCAGCCCCTCCAGCTATGGCCCTGGGTGGAGACACGGTGGCCTTGGTGGAGGAAGAGAGGACCCTGAGTCTCTGGAGGCCTTCAAAAGCCTTGGAGGAGAGAAGCCCCCTCTTCTCTTCCCCCCAGGATGCAAAGGGACCACCTAGAGGCTGCCGAGGGGGGGGGGAGACGTTGGAGAGAAAGGAAAGCGATGGGGAAATCTTGGGAAGTGGGTAGGTGGCTCCTGAGAGAGCAGAAGGTGGTTTGAGAAGAGGCAGCTTATGGTCAAAGGGTCAAGATGGTACCAGTGGTGGGTTTCAAAATTTTTTACTACCAGTTCTGTGGGTGTGGCTTAGTGGGCGTGACATGGCTTGGTGGGTGTGGCTTGGTGGATGTGGCAGGGGAAGGTTACTGCAAAATCCCCATTTTGCAAAACCAATACATTTTGAATCAGCAAATAAGCTAGGGAAGTGGTTAGCATACAAACTGGGGAAAAAGAAAAAAAATGATATTAAAGTTGCAGAAAGGAGGAGGTATTATAATTATTTTCATCCTTTTAATTGTGACCAATTCTCAGAGGCTGCCTGGAGAAGTCCCTGAAATTTTCTTGGCAATATGTTTGAGGTGGTTTGCCATTGCCTCCTTCTTAGGGCTGAGAGAAACTGATCGGCCTAACGTCAACCAGCTGGTTTTGTGCCAAAGGCAGGACTAGAACTCACCATCTCCTGGTTTGTAGCCTGGTGGCTTAACCATCACACCAAACTGACTCTCACAACAGACAAAAAGGAAATGGATTTTTTTTTTAAAAAATGCAAAATTATATAACAGCGAGGCAGTTCCAGAGGAGAAAATAGATGAGTTATCTAGAGAAGTCAAAATAACGTAAACTAAGGGAACAACAAAAAGAGAGGTTGGATGAGAATTGCGGAAGTTGAAGTCCACCCAATTTAAAGTTTGAAAAGAACCCCAAATCCCTGGAGATTCTCAGTCATCCAGATCAAAGGTGCTTTTTTCCAAAGTTACCCGGGCTGCTTTTTTTCTTCTTCTTGAGAAAGACTCTTTGCTTCTCATCCAAGAAGCTTCATGGGTTCATCAGAAGTGAGGAAGCTTCTTGGATGAGAAGCGAAATGTCTTCTTTAAGATAATTAACCCAACCCTAAACCCCCTGACCCTCCCTCCCTTCCTCCCTCCCTCCCTCCCTCCTTTCCTTCTCCTGCCCAGCCTCAGGGACTCCGCAGCCACCGGGGCAGACCGAGGCATCCTCGGGGTATTGCATAACATGCTGATCTTTGGTGTTGGCACAGGTGGGGCAAAGGGCCTTCCCCACAGAGGAACCGCAAGCAGGAAATTGGGAGCAGGACTCCAGTCCCAGGGTAAAGGTGATGCCCCTCCCTCCTCCCTCTCCCACTTTCCTCTTCCCCACCCCAAAGAAGCTCTGCCTGTGGACAGAAACAGCCAAAGCATCATGTAGAGATTGTCCCCAATTCAGGTAGTCCTCAACCTACGACTACAACCGAGCCCTACCTTTATGCTGCTAAGCGAGACAGTAGTGAAGTGAATTTTGCTCCATTTTACGACCACAGTTGTTAAAGGAATCGCTCCAGTTAAATTAGCAACACAGTTGATAAGGGAATCCAGCTTTCACAGGAACGTTGCTGGTCAGAAGGTCACAAAAGGGGATCGCATGACCCCGGGACACTGGACCGGTCATAAACCACCCAACGCTCTGATAAGCAGAGGAACCCGGACACTGACGGCCCCTCAACTCCACTGAAGATGTTACCTAGCCTGGTAACGAAACGTTCAGAAACCAACCCGCAAGTTTGGAGAACGAACCTTCGCCCTCGGTCATAAATCAGTTTTTTTCAGTGCTATTGTAACTTCAAACCTCACTAAATGAACCGTTGTAACTGGAGGACTCCCTGCAATGCTCCAGCCACCCTTTGTGGCATCCCAATGATTGGGTCTGCAGCCAGCCAGTCTGGTGGAGCATTCACACAACTCCTGAAGCCCAGTCAATACTACCCTGGGTTGCAGTCTTCCGTGGCCTAGGGAGTTATTTCTACTCAGTGAACTCTTGGCTAATGGATGGTTTGAGGAATTCTACACACCCTGAAAGGAGGCGGGTTTCACCCCCAGGTTCTCTGGGTTGTATGAATGCAGGCAAGCCTTCGCCAATTGTTCTAACATGCTACAGGGCGGGCGATCGGCTTCTGCCCACCTTACAGATCAGAAAAGGTCAGCTTGGACTAGAAGTTAAGACAACAGACCACAAAACGGAGAGACTCTGAGTTCTAGTCCCGACTTAGTCCCAAAAGCCAGCTGGGTGACTTTGGGCCAGTCCCCAGGAGACAGTGAGTTCTAGTCCCACTTAGGGACAAAAGCTGACTGGCTAACTTTGGGCCGGTCTTTCTCTCCCTCTGCTCAACTCGCCCCACAAGGTTGTTGTTGTGGGGCAAAGAGGAGGAGGAAGGAATATTGTGTGCATTTGCTGCCTTGAGTTATTTGTAAAAATAATGGGTTTTAGTTTCAATGTTTTAAATTTTGGGCCACAGTTATATCATTCTTTTAAACATTTTAAATTTTGTATTGGTATGTGTTTTAGTTCTGGCTGTGCACCGCCCTGAGTCCACTAGGAGAAGGGCGGTATACAAATTGAATAAAAAAAATAAATAAATAATTCAAATAAATAAACTTTGGTGGGGGAGACTGGATCAGGCGATCCTCCCCAACATCGCAGAAATGCATCTCTCACCCTGCAGGAAAGGGACCCCCAGGCAGTCATAGCTAGGGTCTTAACCACATTATTATGGGAAGGGTCTTCATCCGAGCTGACCTTGTGTCCAAGGATGCTCTATCGAGGAGAACTTTTTAGGGGGACCTTCAGCTGCACAGCTCACAGTAATGATCCTTCTCTCTCTCTCTCTTTCTCTCTCCCCCTCTCCCTCTCTCCCCTCCCTCCCTCTCTCCCTCCCCCCTCTGTCCCTCTCTCCCTCCCTCCTCTCTCTTTCACACACACCAACAATATAATTTGCTAGCCAAAGAGAAACAAGTGACAGAAGACCCAGCCAAGTTTTGCTCCAGTGGGAAAATACGAGCTAAACCTCACTAGCACATCAGAGAGAGGCCCCCAGAGGTCACATCTGGCAAAGACAAGGCAAGAGGGATTCCCGTGGCCAGCATCTCCACATCTTCCCAGTGGAAGAAGGGCGAGAAACTGACAAGAACTTCCCAGCTGTTCATCGGAAAACACTTTCAGCTCTCAGGAAAGAAGCAGAGATTCCTGTTTAACATGAAGCGGATCCCTTGGCTAACATAATCCTGGATCCCAAACTGTAGCATCTTACCCTTGGCTCTCTCGCAGGGCAAAACACAGGAAGACCCAAATGCCTATCAGGCACCACCGGATCCCCATGGTGTTGGGCAGCATCAGAAGCTGCTGCTGCTGTCGGTTCTTCTCAGCTTCTCTCTCTGGGGCTGCTCTGCATAATCTCAATGCCACCCAGCTGCCAGCCAGGAGCAGAGTGAGGACCGGCCGTGGGTGACACAGCCCCAAGAGGAATGACAGGAGGGCGGAGTCCCAGCAGGTTTCTCCCTTCAGGTGTGCACACAGGTGAAACCAAGGTGAATGTGGGAAGACCCTGGCCTTAACCCAGAGAGAGATTAACAGAGGTGGAAGGGACCTTATAGGTCATCTAGTCCAACCCCCTGCTCAAGCAGGAGACCCTACACCATTTTAAAAATATGCAGTCCAATCTTTTCTTGAAAGTCTCAAGTGATGAAGCTCCCACAACGTCCGGAGGCAACTTCTGTACCTGGTTGCTCTTCTCTGCACTTTTTCTAGAGTCTCAACATCTTTTTTATAGTGTGGTGACCAAAACTGAGGAAGCCCAGGACCACGGATGGGTCATGCCCTTCTCACGACTGGCCCAATGTTGCCAAGGACTCTGCTAGATCTCAGGCAGGCTGTGGCCAAAAGCAGGAAGGGGAGGAGGTGGGCTAAGACCCTCCTGCTTAGGGTCCAGATGCTTCAGCCAGAGGATGCCCTTCAAGGGGGGGGGTCATTTTCCCTGCGGTTCCCTATTTCCAGGGGCTGGGTGGGTCCCCCAAGTCCGCCAAGCTCCTGGGATGCAGTTCATCTTCTGTTGGGTTTCTGCCTGGATTTCTTCTCCAGGAGGGAATCCATCAGGCTGATTCTTCCCTGCCCTAGTCCTTCCTTCCAAGCAATGGCAGCTACTGGGAGCCCTCATGGCCACCGCTGGGGAAGGCTGGATGGAGAGCATTTAGAACCACAGAGTTGGGAAGGAGCTTGGAGGTCTTCTAGACCAACCCCCTGCTCAAGCAAGAAACCCTTTACCATTTTAGACAAATGGCTGTCCACTCTCTTCTTTAAAGCCTCCAGGGACGGAGGACCCACAACTTCTGGAGGCAAGTCGTTCCATTGATAAATTGTTCTCACTGTCAGGAAGTCTCTCCTTAATTCCAGGTTGCTTCTCTCCTTGTTTAGTTCCCATCCGTTGCTTCTTCTCCTGCCTTCGGGTGCTTTGGAGAATAGGTGGACCCCCTCCTCTTCTTTGGGGCAGCCCCTCACATTTCTCAAGGAAGGGATTGCCTTCGCATCACACCACACAGAACATTGTGGGTTTATCTTTCAAAGACGTTTCCAGAAAGGCATAAAACTGCCAAGCTGGGTTTTGTGTGGTCTGCAGCCGCTGAGTTTTTCTCTGCCTGGGTGAGGCCTGTGGCTACCCCCAGCCAAGATCCTAAGGTGGGTCTTTTCACCCAGTTCCTGCTTGCAAAGCCAGCATCCCAGCCAGCCCTCACCGGCCACCGGCTCTCCTGGAAGCCAGCCGCTCCCACGGTTGTGCGTTGCTTCTCTGCTTGGCTCAGAGCTGGCTCTCTCCAAAATGCTGCCACGGCTCTTAAAGCAGCTCCTCATTTAAACGGAGAAAATAACTGCAGAAGCCGAGGGCCGCCTGGTCTCCCTCACGAATGCCTGCCTGGAAGTCAAACCGAGGCCTCTAAAGTGGGAGAGGCCAGGCCTGGCTGCAGCACCCGTGGAAAGGATCTGGGCGTCATTGATTCAAACTTAAAACAAGTTTAAAGAGGCCAATACGATCCCGAAATGCCTTAACAGAAACGACTCTGGAGGCTCTCAGTTATCCAGTTCATGCTTGTCCCAAAAGTGGTTTTTCAAAAGGCAACTGGACTTTCTCGTTTTTTTCCTTGAAAATATTTCACTTCTCATCCAAGAAGCTTCTTCGGTTCTGACTGAATGATGGAGAATGGAAAGATTTGGAACAGAACAGAACAGAACAGAACAGAACAAAATAAACAGAGTTGGAAGGGACCTTGGAGGTTTTCTAGTCCAGTCTTCTACTAAAGCAGGAGAAGCTCTACCATTTCAGATAAGTGGATGTCCAGTCTCTTCTTAAAAACCTCCAGTGATGGAATGCCCATGATTTCTGAATTTATATTCCTTATACAGTATTCTTTCATTTATATTCCAGGAATATGAATCCTTCCATCCCCCACCCTTCAGTCAGAACTGAAGAAGCTGCTTGGATGAGAAGCGAAACGTCTTTACGAAAAACAAAGCCCAGTTGCCTTTTGAAAAAGCAGCTTTGGGAGGATAGGCAGAAAGGCAGAGCCCAGGTCCTGGAAGCCATGCTTCTCCTCTCTAGGCCATCCTGCTCCGATCCCCTGCGGCCTTCCTGGGTCCAGTTCTGGGCAGCGGAGTTGGAGAAGGGCAGTGAGAAATCGGAGGGACAAAGGAGAATCTTCGTAGCTCAGGGTTGAACCTCTGAGGGGCCCTGGGTGCTCTCTGGGCTGGGGGGTTTTCTTGCAGACCTTTCATGATGCAAACTAGGTGACCTCATCAGTGTTAGAAGGGAGGGGGAGGGGGAGGGAGGGAGGAGAGGGACCCCTGAGGTCATCCAAACACTCTGCTTCTCTGATTTTATAGTCCGTTCAGCCTCTGTCAGTGTGAAGAAGGCAACAGGACAGGCAACAGAGCCTTGATAGTACAGTGGTCTAAAGCACCCTGTTATTAAGACCAGCTGCCTGCAATTACTGCAAGTTCGAATCTCCCCAGGCTCAAGATCGACTCAGCCTTCCATCCTCTCTAAGGTGGGTAAAATGAGGACCCAGTTTGTGGGGGCAATAAGCTGACTTTGTATAAATATACAAAAAGTATGAAGGCTATTGCTTAGCGCATTGTAAGCCGCCCTGAGTCTCCGGAGAAGGGCGGCATATAAATCAAATTAAAAAAAAAAAAAAAAAAACCCACATTCCCCTTGCGCTGATCTTGAACCTGTAGGGATAGCAATAGCAATAGCCCTTCGACTCATATACTGCTTCACAGGGCTTTTACAGCCGTCTCTAAGCGGTTTTACAGAGTCCGCCTCTTGCCCCCAACAATCTGGGTCCTCATTTTACCCACCTCGGAAGGACGGGAGGCTGAGTCGACCTTGAGCCTGGTGAGATTTGAACTGCCAAATTGTAGTCAGCCAGCAGTCAGCAGGAGGAGCCTGCAACACTGCACTCTAACCACTGTGCCACTGCGACTCTTAACAATCCTTTTGTGATTCCAGCCCTTCGGTTGTTTGGTTGCTTTTCCCATATTTTATGGAAGGTGCAGGTCAATGCCCCCTCTGCCCCCCCATTTCGCGGGGGAGGAGATGGGAGCATAAATCAAGTCACTGTACCTGGCCCAGTTGCTCAAGACAAGGTTCAAATTCCTCCCTGCCCTAGAACAAGCCACAAAGTGTGTGTGTGTGTGTGTGTGTGTGTGTGTGTGTGTGTGTTTGGAGTTTGCAGAAGGACACACAAAACACCCAACAAGCCCCAGTTTGCCCTCCCACCTTGATACCACTGTTGTGATGGTATTTTATGGGTCCAGTTTAGGAAGCTGGAGAAGGGATTTGACTCTGAGGTCACTTCCAAAGATCTATGATGCCTCCTCCCTCCCTCCCTTCCCTCTTCCTCCTTTCTCCTCCTCTCTCCCCCTCCTCTCTCCTCCCCCTCCTCTCTCCTCTCTCCCCCTTCCTTCCCCTCTGCCCTCCTCCTCCTCCTCACTGAAGAAGCTCCTTGGATCAGAAGCAAAACATCTTCAAAGGAAAAAGAAACCAAGAAAGTCCAGTTGCTTTTTGAAAAGCACCTTTGGGTCAGTCAAGTCCACTTGGATCTTGGTGATGTGGTTTTTTTCAAGGAAGTCCGTGGTGGGCATTGCCTTGCGCCCGAAGGCCTGTTCCTGGCTCTGCTGACCCAAGAGGCAGTTTTTGGGGTCTAGGCGAAGGGCTTCTGTCCCCGGGGTGGGGGTGGGGCAGATCCCAGGGCTGCTGCAGGCGTCATTCTTAAGGACTCCTGCCTTGAGCAGAGGGTTGGACTAGAAGACCTCCAAGGCCCATTCCAGCCCTCGGTTTCTATTAACTCAAGACATTAACTCAAGTTAAATTGGGATCTTGCTTTGTTTTTAATAGCTGTAAAAACTGTATGTCTAGAAAGTAGTTTAATTTTACACTTTCCTTTTATAAGGAAACTGTAAAAGTGTCCAATTGCTGGATGTGTCACCAGATCCCTTATAAGGTTTTTTAAATTTTCACTTCTTTAGACCCATCACAATTAATAGATTGTGCACCCAAGATAAGAGAGACGGTTCCACTTCAAACAGGATTCATTTGACTCACCAGTGCAACCTGAGACTGACCAGCATTGTTAGAAGGCTCAGGATTATGACAGGAATGTCAGGCTTGCAATGCAGTGGCAGCTTCTTGCGTCCCTCTTCTCCCATTGCCGGCAGGTCAGGGTTGGTTCAATCTCCATCAGAATGAGGTGGGGGGGGCGGTTTTCCCAGGGCCAGGAGGGGGGAATTGCAGGGAGCCTGAGGAACAAGGGAGCAGGACATCTGCACAGGCTTGGCCTGGGTTCTTAGCTGGTGCCAGCTGTTCATGAGACAAGAAGCAAAGGATGGAAACTGATCAAGGAGAGAAGCCACCTGGAATTGAGGAGAAACTTCCTAGGAGTGAGGACAATTAATTGGTGGAACAGCTTGCCTTCAGATATTGTGGCTGCTTCATCACTGGAGCATTTTAAGAAGAGATTGGATTGTCTGACATGGCATAGGGTCTCAGGCTTGAGCAGGGGGCTGGACTAGAAGACCTCCCAGGTCCCTTCCAGCTCTATTATGGTTCTTTAATATTGTGTCCCTGAGCATCTCAGAATCAGAATCAAGGAGACACTGTTTCCTGACCATGAGAACAATTAACCAGTGGAAGGGATTGCCTCCAGAAGCTGTGGGGACTCCATCACTGGAGGTTTTTAAGAACAGATTGGACAATCATTTTTTTAAGTATTGTGCAAGCTGAGCCCATTGAATGGTTGGTGGTTCGGGGCATTGCACAACCCAGAAAATTGATAAAATCAGCTCCCCAACTACAGTCACACCCAGTGATGGTTTATTAAGAACTACAACTTTGTTCTTGTCCTTCATTCTCAGCTCTCCCTTCCTGCCAGTGCATAGGATGCTCAGTTTATAGCGTAAGCATAGAATTTCATTTTAATGTATGCCAATTAGTTTAAATTCAAAGTGACGATAAAAGTTATTCTCTTCTCTTCTCTTCTCTTCTCTTCTCTTCTCTTCTCTTCTCTTCTCTTCTCTTCTCTTCTCTTCTCTTCTCTTCCCTTCCCTTCCCTTCCCTTCTCTATTATTCTATTATTTTCTCTATTCTCCTATTCCACTCTGGGGTGCTCTGCTTGCAGTGGAGCACAACGTGGGATGTGCGTGGCCCACAAGGGCTGCTGTGGCTGGTGTGGGTGGTGCTTTCCAAGCCCAAGGGTAGAAGATGAGAACCGAGGCTCGGTCTGGGCTGTAAGGCTGAGCCCCGAGGCTGAGCTCCTGGCCCTTTGACCCCACAGCAGCATTGGGCCAGGGAGGGAGGCTGCCTCCTCTGATGCTGCATCCCGGGATGTGTGCTGGGCAAATATCCTGGGGTGGGGGGTGGGGGGGTGGGCAGGTTAAAAAGAGAGTTGTTTCCATTTCTTTTTTTCCCTGAAGAAATCATGTTGGGATGTTCACAGGATTCTAATTCTGGTCCACTAACTTTGTCGCGTGATTATTCTTTAATTACGGGATGGACAGATGAAATGGGGAAATCCCCAGCAAAAGTCTCCTCAGCTGGTGCCCTTTGCACCTCGATGGGGCTCCCATCCAGGAGGGGGGTAAAGTCACCCTCAGCACCAGGCTGGCTCTGTCATTTCCTCATCGCCTTTCCAGGACATGGAAATTCAAATGATGCGAGGCAGCTCCTCAGCCTTGGAAGAAAGGAGGAGAAGGCGGAAGACACCCTCCCAGCAGGGAAGGGGCTTATTTGGGGCTTGTGGCTGGGAAGCACGGAGCCATTTTGCAAAGGGGAGATTTTCCTCCAGGGAATCTCTGAATCGGATGCCCCAAAGGTGCTTTTTCCAGAGCCGACTGGACTTTCTGGAAAGGCTGGCTACCTCATGAAAAAGCATCTTTGGGACGACCTGGATGACTGAGACTCTCCGTAGACCTCCAAACAGGATGACCACTTTTGATCTGGGGCTTGTAGAATTGTAGAATCCTAGGGAAGGGAAGGGGCCCCAGAGGTCTTCTACTCCAACCCCCTGGGCAAGTCAGGAGTCCTCATATCAAGTCTTTCCTTGAAAAGCTTCCAGTGATGGAGCACCCACGACTTCAGGAGGGAAGCCATTCTGTGGATTAATGGTTCTCCCTGACAGGAATATTGCCAGCTGCCACCACACAGCTGCCATGAACTCGATGGGAGAGAAGCAAAAGTTCACTGTTTCTCTCCCAGAAGAGCTTCAAGGTCACCCAGCTGGGAACCAAAATAAAGCTGCATATCAAACCTACACCTGAAGTGACGGTTCTGAAAACATCTTCTTTGAATTTGATTGGACATGGGGGAGGGGGGCAGTGATGGGAGGCGACTAAGGGAGGGAAGAGTTAGACTTCAGGATTTTGGCACGAAATTCTCAGTTCCGGCTCTGCACTACTGCAATTTTACTTGACTTGACTCTAATTAAGAATGATCCCCAACTCCATTTGTTGAGAAAGGCATAGTTTGCTAGAACTATGCCTTTCTCAACAAATGGAGTTGGGGATCATTCTTAATTAGAGGTTCAAGCTGAGGCAGGTCTGAAAAATGTCCTCCTTGATTCTAGGTAGGATCTCTCTCCAGTGAGTTTCTACCCATTCATTACTCCTTGTCCTGGAGAATAAATTGACACCTTCTTTGGGGCAATCCCTCAAATTCTAGTGAAGAGAAGGACCAGGGGAGACATGATAATAGAATAGAATAGAATAGAATAGAATAGTAGAATAGAATAGAATAGAATAGAATAGAATAGAATAGAATAGAATTTTATTGGCCAAGTGTGATTGGACACACAAGGAATTTGTCCTTGGTGCATATGCTCTCAGTGTACATAAAAGAAAAGATACGTTCGTCAAGAATCATAAGGTAAAACACTTAATGATAGTAATAGGGTACAAATAAGCAATCAGGAAACAATATCAATATAAATCATAAGGATACAAGCAACAAAGTTATAGTCATACAGTCATAAGTGGGAGGAGATGGGAGGTGGGAACGATGAAAAGATTAATAGTAGTGCAGACTTTCAATATTTGAGGGGTTGCCACAGAGAGGAGGAGGGGGTGTGGTGTCAACCTGTTTTCCAAAGCACCTGAAGGCAGGAAAAGAAGCAACAGATGGAAACTGAATAAGGAGAGCTTCAACCCAGAAATAAGAGAAATTTCCTGAAAGTGAGAGCAATCAGCTGATGGAACAGAAGTCGCCTTCAGAAGTTGCAAGAGCTTCATCACTGGAGGCTTTCAAGAAGAGACTGGACTGCCAACTGTCAGAAATGGAGTAGGGTCTCCTGCTTGGGTAGAGGGTTGGATTAGATGACCTCTGAGATCCCTTCCAACTCTGTTATTCTGTTAAATATTGCAAGACTGCTATCATGTCGCCCCGAGTCCTTTTTTCCTTTGAACTAAAAATCCCCAATTCCAGCAACCCTTTTTTAGCCTCCAGTCCCCTAGTCATCCTGGTTGCTCTCCTCTGCACTCTTTCTAGAATCTCATTTTTTAATATTGTGGTGACCAAAACTGGATGCAGCATTCCAAGCGTGATCTTACCATGGCATTATAAAGTGGCTTGGTAATACCACTTATAAAGTGGTAGTATCACTTCTCGTGATCTTGATTTTGAACCAACTCAAAAGTAAAATACAGCAATGATTTCTACTGGGTGATCATTGCTATAACTCAATTGTTAAACAAGAATCGAGACTCCACAGAATCACATTGTCCATCTTTCCCTGACGTTCAAAAGCCAATTCAAAGGCCGAGAGTTGGCACACTTCAGCAAAGCAACCTTTGGCATCTGCACAATTCCTCTTCCAGGAACACAACCATCCTTTACACAACAATCTCACCCAGGCAGATCCAAAGTTCTCCAGAGATTGACGGATTCCAAACTTTTGCAACATTTTCCTATCTTATCTATGCCACAGGGAGAATTCTCAGTCAATATGAGGCAAACACAGGGTAGCACCAAGGGCTAGGAACAAATCTATGCTCAGATTTATTGCACGTCTGACATAGAGAAATGAATTTAAAAAACTGTTTTTAATGAGCTCGTTCCATTTTAATAACAGACAAAATGTATTTAACTTTTTGAAAAAACAGACAGCACTGGTTTTATAAAACGGAAAACTCCAATTTTCTGTTCCAAATTTTAATGAGTTTGTCTATATATGTTCAATAATATATGAAATGCGTTTAACCTTTAAAAAACAGAGCATGATTTTGTAATTCAGAAAACTCAAATTTTGGTTTCAAATTTCATACACGTGTTGTGACACATATTTTACTGCAGCTTTTTAGTTGTGTTTTAGTTGTGTAACCACTAAAAATACTTTTACCTTGTGTGTTCCAAAGTGTTGGAGGTTCTGAGAATACATCAAGAAAAAAAAAAAAGCACAGCTAGCAAAATTCATTTTTATCTGAATATGATGCTATTCAGCTTCTTTGGATGAATTATCTTCTTTTTGTTACTTTGAAAGCTTTGAAAACATTATTAATGGTAACCTGATCAAAGGAAGAACTTGTAGGAGGAGACCTATGTTAATTTATGGGAGGGGGGGTCAACAATCAGAAAGAGGGGCAGCAGCTTTTCAGGATAATAAACCAGGTTAAAAGGCAGTCAGTTGCAGTTCCTTGGATTCATGATTATGCTGAAAGAGGGTTTAATGTGGGGTGAGGTGATGGAAGGCAGGAGAAGACCAGTTAATTATGCAGATACAAGGAAATCAAAGCCAGCTTCCCCAATGGATTCTTTTTTTTTTTTTTTGCCAGAAATCGCAAAAACAAACAAACAAAAAACCTTGCAAATCACTGTCATATGACTGCAGGATGTTGCAAATGTGAGCTGGTTGCCAAATGCCCGAATAGCAACTGCAGGACTGCAGTGACGGTTCAACAGTTGCAAACGCAAGTACAGATGGCAAGTCATTTTCTTCCTCAATCGTTAACTGAATGGATGTAAATCAAGGACTGCCTGCATTGTTGGACATTAGGTAATGAACCTGGATTAACAAGATAGCAGAGTTGGAAGGGACCTTGGAGGTCTTCCAGTCCAACCCCCTGCTTAGGTAGAAAACCCTAGACCATTCCAGACAAATTGGCTGTCCAATCTCTTCTTGAAGACATCCAGGGATGAAGCATTCACGACTTCTGGAGGGAAG